AGCTCCCACTTTGAGCCTGGGAGTGAGCTGGAGGAGGAGCCTTGTGGCTTTGCAGGTGTAGTCTGGGCTGTGGCCTCACTTTCTCTCTTTGAATCTTGTCATGGTGAGCTGGGACATCTAGGAGTATCATACGCATCATTCACAGCAGTGCATTAAAAGGACTGTGGCCAGCAGCTTGAGGGAGGTGACCCTCCTCTCTAGTCTCTCTGGTGAAGCCACATCTGGAGCACTGTGCTCAGTGCACATTTGTGGGCTCCACAGTTCAAGAGGAGAGAGTCTAACAGAAGGCCACAAAAATGGTTGAGGCCCAGAGCACCTCCTGATGAGAGAAGGCTGGGGGGGGGGGGGCCCTCTTATCACTGCTTCTCAATAATGGGCAGGCGTCCAGAGAATGGGGCTGGGCTCTTTTTGGTGGTGTGCAGCGCAGGGACAAGGCACTGGGCACAGACTGGAACACGGGAAGTCCCATCTGAGGAGAAACTTTTTTACTGTGGAAGTAACAGATCGCTGGGACAGGCTGCCCAGGGGAGTTGTGGAGTCTCCTTCTCTGGAGGTATTCAGAACCCACCTGGATGTGGAGCCTGCTTTAGCAGAGGGGTTGGGCTGGGGAATCTCCAGATGTCTCTTCCAACCCCTACATTCCTGTGATTTCTGATACAGACTTGAGATACACTACAATCCAAAATAGGAATTACTGTGGGCCCACTTCAGGCCTGTGCTGAAGAAATGTCTGCTGGAGCATTCTGTGAAGGTCACCATTCACTTGGCAGGCATGCTTTCCCAGTGAGAACTGTGTGCAGTCATTTTGAATCTAGCTGATCAGGGTCCCCATAACCCAAACCTGCTTGTGTTCTCTTGTTTTGAGTGCTCCACATAAAGTTTTTCTCCCAGCCTGTGCCTTCCTTGTCTTAGTTGCTGTTGGGATGCTGCAGACTTAGTTAATTTAGCTGTATCTATTTGTGACAATAAAAATGCCACCATATGCATTCTTGCAGAGAATTCAGGAAATGTCATGCTGCTCATTGAGCAAAAATTAGTTGTGATGTCTCAAGACCCAGAAACATATTTTTTTGCTGCCTGAAATTTTCCTGTGTAAATGTCCCTGATATGACCTGCTGGTCACAGTCCTTTCAGTGCACTCCTGTGAATGATGCATATGATACCAGGACACAAACATTTACAGAGTCATGGGCACACCGGTATACCTCAGTCCTAGATGTCCCAGTTCACCATGACAAGACTCAAAGAGAGAAAGTGAGGCCACAGCTAGACCACACCTGCTGTTGTTTTCTTTGATGAAATGGTGTTTACACTGATTGACTGTGCTGCAAGGATGCTGTTAAAGCAAATGAGTTGAAAGATTTTTCAGACTCGTAGAAATGGGAATATTGTAAAATACTGTCTGTACTTCAGAGTGAAAGGAGCAAAATTCTTAAATCTCAATCCAGCCTTGGCTGCTGTGACTACACCATCAAGTAATTAACTTCTTAAATGGAATGTATCTCCTCGAGGCTTCCCACCCTCACCCACATCACAGTCCCTGCAGGAGAGGTATTGCAGGATGCTACTGCTCTGGAATATCCTGCAGGCAGTATACCAGATTCATACCTGGACAGCTTATCTTAGTCCATCCATAGAGAAACAGATCCTTTTGATGTTTACCTCTAATCCATTTTTAGAGTGCAATTATGTAAAAAATCATTTGGCATTTGACTGTGAGCTCATCAGAAAGTGGTGTAAGAAGCAAAGATTAAAAGGAAAGATAAAAATCCATTTCCCTTTGAAAGCTAAAGATTGTTCTTGTGTTTAAATTGATAATCAAACAAATTAACATGCAGCAAAGTATGCAGGAGTGCAGAAAGGACTAAATGCCCCCATTGCACTGAGAATTTGAAAGGGGAAGATGTGGCATGTCCGAAGGTGTTGGTACACACATTGAAGGACTGTCTTTTCCAGGCTGTAGCTGTGTGTGTTCAGATCCATCACAGACAAAAGGCTGTTTATGAGAAAATAAGAGAGACCATTTATCCATCTCTTTGCTAAGCAGGAGCCAGGAAATAAGAAACATGCAGCAAAGGTTTTTGAGAGCTGAATGTTGAGGAGAAAACATTGTGTGGCAGTGCTAATGATGGGAAGCAGTAATGGCGTGGAGGAAATTGAATGAAGTTTTCTCAGTAGACAGGTTGAAATCAGCAGAGGAAAAATGACTGCTCTTGGAAAATATTTCTGATCTGTAAGGGGCCTTTGGGACACCAGTGCAGTACTTTTACCTAACAGCAATACAGTGAGTAAAAAAGTCCAAGCATAAGCTCAGTGTAGTTCATGAATTTGAGAATAAAGCCGTAGTGTGACACTACCTTAGTTTCCCTATTGCACACCTCATCTCATGCTGCAGATCACCTGGGCTTTCATTTCCCATCCTCCAATGCAGTTTTCTTGCCATTTCTATCTGATAATTGAATATGATAGAGCAATTAATAAACCTACCATTGTTTTCCAAAATTGAAGTAAAAGTGGTAATTTGGGTGGTTTTGGTTTTTTTTCCACCCATATACATGAGTCTAAATTTATATTTCAAATTTAGAACTGAATTGTACCTGTTCGTGTGTTGCTGATTCTGTTCTAGCAAATGCTGATGTACTTCACACTTCTGGGAGGCCAGCTGGACAGTGTCCACATACAGTTGCCCATTAGGTTTTAAATCATGAAAATCAGTGAAGTTATTCATCCTCAGAAATGAGGAATGAAGAAGAAAAAATCACATTTCTGAGCCATGCATTCAATTTCACATGGATTAGTCTATCAGAACAGGTGCCCAGGCTCACCACGAGTTTTTAGAGCTCAGCAAGGCCTTGAATCCCTCTCTAGAGCCTACATAAAATGTACAAGGGAACAAAATCCTCAAATTCAGGCAAGAAAATGCAGTGGCAGAGGCAGAACCATGATAATAGACCAGCCATATCAAATTAACTTGAGTCATCTCACGAATAGAGTATTATTAACATGTACCCAGAGATTATATTAAATTGAAAGGAGTGGTCAATTAAAAAATCTTATTTTGCTGTGCTGCAGGAATTCTGGGATAGCTCTGCTTAATCAGTAGAGGGAAGTTGGACAGATTTATACAGTGGCCAAATTTACTTCTAAATCTAAGTGGAACTAATTTGTCTACATGAGTGTCATGAGGAGAGTGCAAGATAGCCACGTTCCTTGAAGCCAGGGTGGAACTGAGCCTGGAAAACACTCAACTTCTGATGAGAAGGAACTTTAAAATGATGTAGTGTTAAAGAAGGATTATGTTTTATACCTAACCTTTATTTGAAAAGTTTGGTTTTTTTTAAGTCAGCTATCTCATGTCTTCCCAGACTAGAATTTGCTCAGAGCATGCATTCCTCCTCAATGTACTGCCCCAGGCAGAGAAGCAGAAAGGCAAAGCATTAACTCAAACTTCTCAGTATTATCGTAAGTCAGATAATAAATGACTTGAAACAGTGTCACTTTCGAACTGCTTTAGTACAGATGGTCTGCTTCTTAATTCCCTGCCTCATAGTTAGGGAGCTGAGCTTATTGAACTGCTTGCCAATTCTGTTAAGAGGAGATGCAGTGAAATGAGATAAAGGCAATATTTTAGTGTGACTCCCATGAATTGACTCCTACCCCCCAGATGCCATTATTGACATACATTTTACAACTACATCTCTCACCATCAGCAGTTAGAATTGCAAAGAGGTTGAGCATACTTGGCTTGAATGTCAATAATCAATAAGGATGCTCATCTGGCTTAATAAGGATAAATTTTCGCCCTTGAAACAGCATACCATCCCAGCCAAGTGAGCTAGAATTTGTTCCTTGAGGTTTGTGCTAATTCTGTATCTGTGTACATTTATGTGCACACGCTTCAGTAATAGCTTTCTTTGACTATTATGGATTCCTCTTGCATGTCTTATAATAATGGTCTTTTTATTAATCCATTTCAGAAACAGCTATCATATTCCATGGAAAAAATGAATGTTCTGTTCACAAAATATATATTTATTAGGCAAGAACAATTAACGTGAAAATCAATAGATCCCTGGAGATTTACATTTTGGTGTTTTGGTACATTAAGCAGGACAGATGGTAAATAAAATAGATCAGAACTCTTCCTGTGGCCTTCATACTGCCCTGTGTGTGCAATCTATGGCTGACTGGCTCAACTATGGCGTAAAGAGCAATGACTTCATCCAGCCTTCCTTGCAGGAATTGTCCCAAGCATGTTCAGTTGTACCACCACACCAAGCCAGGATATGGAGGGAACCATGCAAGTGATGTAATACTGTGGGTAATTGCCTGTGCTGCCTTCATATCTTGACAATTTTTACTGGCTTAGTACTTATACAGCATATGACCTCCAAAATGTTTGGTGACCTCAAGGGTTTTGCAACTCCTGACAAGTTTCCAATGGAGGGATCATCTAAATCTCTTTTCAGAAGTGGCAAGAGCTCTGTTGCCTGTATGGCAGACTCAGACAGATGTATTTCTAAGAAGGTGTAAAAGCTGTAAAGAATATTCAGCGTTGTGGGGGCTTGCTGGTAGAATGTTGGGATGGAAGTCTGCAAAATCACCTTCCATTTTGCTACTTGGATAGAAGCTTTCCATCTATGAAGTCACTCCTGTCTGTAAATTTTAAATGGTAATCCCAGGACATGACATTCTGTGTTAATAGTAGTAAAAATAAGTGCTTCTGTGATCCACAGTCATGCTAAAGCTTTCTTTGTTCCCTGTATTCCAGAAATTAGTATAAAGCCTTAAGTTTTTGAGTGTCTTGCCCCAGAACATGAGAACAGCAGATCTTTTTCTTGGCAGGGAGCTGGGTCATGGCATTACATCTCAGCTGTGGAAGTGCAGTGTCCCAGAACGCAAAAGGGTGCAGTAGTTTCTGTGGGCTGGAACGAGGCACTCTTGTTTCAGTATTTGCTTATGTCACGTTTAACCTTCTGTTTCTTTCCCTTTCCTGACAGATTTTTATTGGGGAGATATCCATGTATTTCATAAAGTCAACCAGAGAAGCCCTAATTATCCAAGAGAAAACTATTTTGACTGGAGAGTGCTGTTACCTGAACCCACTGCTTCGAAGAATCATACGTTTTATAGGTAAGCATCTTTAGCACTGCAAATTTACTTCCTCTTTGCATCAAAATAGAACAAAAGATGCTAACCATCTACAGCACAAAGTTAATTAAGCTGCAAAATCTTTGCAGGTAAATTCCACTTTAGAGGAATTGTCCCCCTCGGGATTTGCAAGGTAATATTTGAAATGTGCCATATCATGCTGCCTGGGCCTGGTTTATATCCTGCTCTGCTGAGCTTAATGCTTCTTCTGGACCCTTGGAGAAAGGTTATGCCAATCAAATCCTCATATGAATAATTCCATGATTGCTATTCTGTGTGCGATAGCCATTTTACTTACAAATCAGTTCTCAGCAGCCCATCTCTTTGGATTTTTCTTTTTTATCTCTAATTTTAACTTCTACAGCTCTGGCACATAATGTTCAGCTGAGCACAGCATAAAAAAGGCCAGAGCCCACATAAAAATAGCATTCATATTTTTATTCTGTGGGGGTATTTTTAGATATTTCATTGCATTAGTTGTTGAGAAAACAGTGAAGAAATTATGTCAATAAAATGTGGAGTTTACTTCTATTGTACTTAAAAACCACTATGCCCTTTTCACAAGTTCAATGTAAAAATGCCTCAGAGACCGCACTGAGGTGACAACCCTGTAGGTCCTTTTGGGGCAGGAAGAGGAAAGGGGTTGTAGCTTTATTTCCGCCCTGGCACTGGCAGTGGACCTAACTATTCCCTCAAGGTTTCCAAATCCTAAACTGAATTAAAAGCTGAGCTTTAAAAGTAGTAGCAGAACAAAAAGTTGAAAACACCTGGATCGTTTCTTCCCTGTCACTACTGATTTCTTGAGGGGAAAAAAAAAAAGCAAAGGGCTGGTGTGAGCATGGTGAAGGGCGCATGGTTTGCGTAGAGCATGGCCCCACCTGCAGGTTTTCGTTCTCAGCAAATAATTGCCACAAAGGCAGAAGAGCCATGGTTTTCTTTCTCTCTCTCCTCTCTGTGCCTCCTGCTCTATGCATGGAGGTTAGGAAGCGAAATGCTTTTTTACCTTCTCACACACTGTGGTGTATGAGGACAAGCCACCTGTGGTTCATTACCCAAGCCTGTCCCGTGTGCTGCTCACTACCACAGAAGACATTAAAAGCGAAATACCCTTGAACTTCAGATACCCTCTAGGATATATTGATGGATAGTAAACTGCCATTAAGAGAAAAGCAGAGTACTGGACTCCACTAAGTCACTCAGGGCTGTTAGGCCATTGCAGCACATTCAGCATGCTTTGCAGAGCCATAATCAAATATTCTGGCCTGCGGGATCAGTACTAAAAGAGGTTAAACTGTGGAGGCTAAGCACTTGCTCTGTGTGTTTTCTTATAATTGCACTTTTCTGCCCTGCTTTCACTTGAGCTAGCTTTATTCCTATGCATTTCCTCTACTGTTTTGGTAGATGAGGAGGGGACAATGATGATACAATAGACCCTCACAGAGGAGCAGGATATGGACCTGATAAAGAAATCAATCTTTGTATCTTTGTCTTCTAGAGAAAAAGTTGACTTTGTTGGAAATAGCTTCAAGTGCTGGTTTTATTTTAAACTACACTGATTGTACATTTTTGTCAGAAACCTCCCTGCCTCTGCCAGGAAATGATTGAAAATCAGGTGAAATCATATATGAAACAACCAAAAATAACTGCTCTTCCTTTATTGAAATTCCAAATATGTTTGGAAACATGAAAGGGACTGGCCAGCTGTTGCCCACGCTGGAGCATCAGGGAAGTTAGCTTCACAAGCTTCTCATTCCAGAAAGAGGTTTACCTGGATGATGTTTCTATGATTCTACGGATGCTTGGCTATGGAGAGACGAACAAGTTACTCCTACATGGATTTCCTCACGAATCTTTTCTTCCTAATATGAGGTCCAAAAGTAGCAGAAATATAAAATAGGCTTTCTCCCAAGACATCCTGTGAGTGGTATGACTTGCTACAAGGAACTTTGCTGCCAATTTAGTCTTGATACAGATTTATTTGAATTTTAAAATCTGATAATTCTTTTTGACCCAGACGTGGAAGCAAGAAACATCAGTAAGTAACTCCAAAAAGTAGTAATTGAGCTCTGTTGAATATTGCTTCATCTTTTAAGTCGTGACAGTTACTATTAAACAGGATGGGAGATGGGAAATACTAATCATTGTGCCTGCTGTTAACATTTAAGGAAAATGAACACTAATTTCAGAAGGGTACATTTTGAGAGCTTTTAGTCTGTCCCTGACTCAATAGCTAAGGATGCAAGGAAAAATGGATCTTTAAGAATAAGGGAATAAATTTGCTTTTCATGTGACAAGCAAGGAGTTTCAGGCTGTCTTTAGTGATATGGAAGGTGGGCACTCACGCCACATTATCACTGCGGGATCTGTTGCATTTATTTGCTAGACTTGAGCTGATTCTCCTCTTGCTTTTAGTTCGTATATGCACAATAAAGCATATACTTTTTTGTACTCACTGGTGGTACAAAGAATGATGCAAAACCAAAATTCCACTATCCCCTGGGATGTTCACAATCCCTCATGATTATTTTAATTCATGTTCATACCTTGCCTGTTTTGCCTCCTACTTATTTTTCTCTCCCCAGGCCCTCACAGTTGTCTGTCCTAGAGTTCTCTCTTTATGAGTTTCATGGGGACTTTAACAATTGAGCTTTATCTTAAATTCCCCCTTGGTTCTTTGTCCACAGAAAAGTGGACAAAATTTTTTTCTTTCTCCCTGGCCCAAATATTAGTTATTCCACCTTTTGTAGTGAAAAAATGCCTCTCAACTTCTTTCAACATATATCAAGTCCTTTATTGCATCCCAGATGGGTGAAAACTGCTGCGTTCCTATATTTAGAAAATCAATTCCTTTATGAAAGAAAGAAAGCAGTTTTAGCTTGGAAACCTCAGACTTTGTTATGCATTGCAATTTGTTCCATCTTCCTCTTTTATATTTCTTCTACAGATTATTATTTTTTTTTTTTGAGATTTTCACTTCAAATAAGGGGTGTGCAGTTGCTTTGGAGTCATTTTTTCTGTCTAAAATATCAATGCGGCACTGCTATCCTTTACTCACATCTCTCCCCTCCATCCACTCCTCAGCCCTCACAAGAGTTTTTTTAAGAACTACAGATACCAAAATGCACAGTTTTTATCCCAGACCTCTGAGAAATCAGGGAGGAAGAGTGATGGTTCCCTGGGCTTCAGCCTTTTCTCCCCATTGCACAGTATTTTGTACTTTTATTCCCCTCTTCTTGTGGTGATTTCCTGATCAGTACCCTTGTTAACATCTTGCCCTATGCTTCATTCTCTTCCATGCTATACTTCATTATTTGTTTTACAAACAGAGGTATACATTATTTTAATGTTCCTCAGTGGTCTTAGTCAAGGATTTAGTGTGTTCAGATACAGCCACAACAGCACCCCCAGGACTGAGATTCAGACCTCACTGACTCAGTCTGGCAGGGTGACCAGAGTGTGTATTTTGCTGTTTTTCAATATTGGTATATTAGGCTTCTAATCCATGTGATTAAGTTGTAGACCTGCAAAGCTCTGATAACATGCAAGTAGTCTCTCTCTAGATATTCAGAAATGCAACCTGCTTCATGAATCTGTTACCAGTGGCTTTTACTCTGGAGCTGCATAATTTGCAGTTAACAAATGGTACAGATCAGCTTCTGCTGACAGCTTAATTTAAAGCATGGGGCCAGCTCACAGTAGGCAGCTAAATAATGAAATTAAGGCTTTATTTCAGCAAATTAAGGCCTTAGTTTGGCAAATAAAGGTTTACAAGATTTACACACACACTGACTTTATTGTAATGGGATAGATAAACCCCAGAGCTCTGATGTCTATTCCCTGTGCAGCTGCGAGACATAGTTAGCCTGACCTTATCCTTCTGTCTGCTTCTACAGTGACACAGTGCACACAGTGTCATTAACTGACTGTCTTGCAGGAGGGCTCAGCCAGTATTTGGATGTGCAGCTTAAACTACCGTAGGTCTCACTTCTTGTCACTGAAGAACCTCCACAGTCAGAATTGGGTCTCTGTTTTGGGGAAAGCCCAAACTTTGCTGCTCCCAGGCTCTAAGCTGACTGCTGTCTGGGTGAAAATTGAGAGTCATAAACCAGCAAGCAAAGAGAAATCATCTGCACCTGTGGAGAACAGTCTTGAGGCTGCAAAGCACTTTTGCACTGAATTTCTTCTTACATCTTGAAGAAGCAGTATTTAGGAAGGACACTCATGAAGGAAGCAGGTAGACAGAGGAGACAGTAGATGCCTGGGACTTGGTAGAATCTTTCCCAGGAGATAAAAACTGATGGTGGGATCTGATTATGATTGCTGAAGAAGCTTGCTGGTGAGCCTGTTCCTGCAATAACAGCAAGCAGTAAATTTTCCTGCAGCCTCCACCCCTCTAGTTATAAAATGGCTAATAATACAGGTCTCGTTTATAAATATACATTAAAATATAATGATAAAGGGTGGTTTAGCAGAGTCTAGGTTGCAGGACTAAAAATCATATAGTCATTAAATGGTTGGGTTGAAATGGACCTTAAAGCCCTACCAGCCCCAAGCCCTTGCTGTGGACTGGTTTCCTCCCAGCAGCTTAGGCTGCCCGGGCCCCATCCCACCTGGCATGGAGCACCTGCAGGGATGGGGCATCTACAGCTGCGCTGGGCAGCTGTGCCTGGACTTCATTGCATTCTGAGTGAATATCTTCCTAATATGGCCTTCCTGAATGTCGTTAGGTTCTTACAGATCCACATCTCAAAGCTGTCCAGATCCCTTTGTATGCATCCTTTCCTGCTATCAACTGCTTCACGCAGCTTTGATGACTTAATTGGATGCATAGGACCATTAGAGGGAAAATTGCAGAGATTGGTTGAAGATCAGCGTTTGTGTAGAACCAATTTTTCCAGGGACTCCCTCCACTGAAACTCTAATGCTCTTCAAAAATCATAGGAATGGGAAAGAGGTTGTGGAAATGCAAATATGCATGTGTAATATGAAAGTTTTTTTTCTGGGAAATTAAAAGTGTGATAAATTCAGGCATTAGACTGTACACTGGGAGAAGGAGCTGTTCCTCAGTAAGTGAACTTTGTAGGAGACCCGACAACATGTTACCCAAGAGCACAGCTTTTGATGCCCCCTGAGCTATTGAATACATTGTTTCTTATGTCACCTTATCTAATGTTTTGTAGTTTTTTTTTTCTATTAAAGTATTTTGCCTCATCATTCCCGTTTCCACCCATTGACGTCTCACTTCTTTCTTCCATTGTCTTTTCAGCAGCTTGTATCCAACTCCTTTCTTTGTTTGTTTGTGTGTGTTTTGTTTCAAATCAGTGGCATTTAAAATATCTGTAGTAGTGAGAGTTTCCATGGAGTCAGAAGCAGCTGCAGCCAATGATGTCAGAGAGATGCAGAATGGAAGAAGAGAGAGCTTGGACAAGAGTTGCAGGGATAAAACAAGTCAGCTAAGGTAACAGTGAGGGAGGAGAGTTGTATCCTTCTTCAGGGCACATGCTTCTGTTAGCCAAAGCAGTAGACAAAGCTGGAGGTGATAACGCTTACAGACAGACATACGGGGAGTTTGGTTGGTGCTGCATGTTAGACTCAGAGAGAGCCCTACAGTTAAGGATTTATGCTTGGAGATTTATTTGGCAGCAATTTATAGGAGATGTAAATGAAGAAGCTAAACCTGAAGCATTCAGAAATGAAGCTGATGAAGATTTAGATGCTTCCTCCAAGTAAAGTTTTGTTGAGCTATAAGGATATTGTCTGTCCTCAGCATTTTTGAGCAGATCTTTCATTACTTAAGGGTTCTTTCTGCAGCCAAACTGTGTGATACACGTGGAAGAGGGGAAGGAGTGGCTTTAAGTAACTTAAATAATCCTGTATGCATCCATTGTGTGAACAACCAACTACACAGACTGTGTTTTTACAGCTCCTACTTTAATGTGCCTAATGCTGTGTATGTCCTTCTTCAGCATGTTTCAAGTTATGGGCTAAAGTTCATTCCCAGGTTTTCTGGGTCAGAATGAACACAGTGTGATAAAGCACTGCTCCTTAGCAGGATGGTATCACCTCCATTAAACCTGACCACCAAAGTATGCAAGTTCTCCTGCTCTCTCTGTGGCATTGTATCACAAACTTCAGCTGGATGACTGTAAAGAGCAAAGGGCTGATTACCCTTTCCATGAAGCCTTCCAGCAGTGGCTTGTCTGTGTCCAAAAACCTAGCAACCACATCACTGCATTCTCATGCCCTGGTCAGTTAACTTGGCTGCTGTAGGTCATTGAACAAATTGGCTGAACAGATGGATTCCTGATGTAAACCATCAAGGGACTCCATCACGACCAAAACTCACTGGTGTTAGACTTTAAATCAATTAGAACCAGCTCCATTGCGTAGTCTCCAGGGAGCAAGTGATGTATAATCAGTCTGCAAGGCCTCCATCCCTGCTGCACATCGCTGAGACTTCCATAATGCACAGTTTGGCAGAACTGCATGAGGGGAATTACTGAGATCAATATGCATCACAATGGAAAGCTTGACAAAGGGTTCAGCCATGGCTTGTTCTGCTGTTCTGCAGAGTACTGCAGCCCTCAGCAGAGTCTGAGCCAGTGCATTCAGCACTACCAATTATTGGGAAAATGCAGATACTGAAATTCTCTTTTTCAAAGCAAAATGCTGCCTGTGTACCTGTGCACTGCACAGGAAGTGAAATAACTGTGTGAAGCCCATGAGCTTTTCCTGAAACACCTCCGTTTTTCACTTGTACCAACTTTGCCATGGAGGCCATGGGTCAGACTGCAGTGTTTGTCTGGCTTCTACACTTCCTATAAGTATTATAAAGAGCTGGGTAATAATCCTCATTGCATTCCCCGTGATTTGCACAACACATCAAAATGATACCACTTAAAGCAAGCTTTGTCTTTTATTAATTTTTTATTTTTATTTTTAATTTGGTCAAAGAACAGTACATAAAGCAAGATTTTTCTGGCATGAATTCATGCTTTGCCAGCCAAAAAGCTATCTACAGGCTTTTTTGTTTGAACTTGCTTATGTGCTGCTTAATGTAGATGAGGAATTCGTGTCAGTGATTGTAAAACCACGGGTTTACAGTATTTACAGAGGGATAAAGGGATTAAAGGAGCAGAGTCAGCACATTCCATTTTCCTGTCGGCCAGTCCTGCAGTCTGGGACCACTGACACTCCAGCAAGGGACTTGTGCTGCAACATGGCTATGTCAGCCACAGCACCTCGGTGAGTGGGCAGCACCAGGGCGTCCTACTGAACTCTTGTATCATTCATTGCTCTTTAGTTATGGGCTTCATTTCACATTCCTGTCCATACAAATGTCCCATGAAGGTAGGCCTGTCCTGTTGAAAAGGATCTAACTGTCAGTTATGGTCCTGCTGATTTTTGTTACCTACAGGATTACAATATTTGCGGAACTGTCCTTGATTTTTGTTAATTTGATATAAAGCATTTTCAATGTTGTTACATTCCTGACGCCCTGTTATTTTTGTTTATCAGACTGCACCAGCACTTTTTTCCTTATTTAGGTCAGTACAGATAAGCAATGCAGTTACTGTAACCATTGTAGCTCTCCTAAGATAAGCTGTTTTCCTTGGAGTGCCCACTCTTGGTTGTTCTTGAATACAATCTCATGTTCAAATGACTTTTGTGTACTAAGCTGCAGGACAGAGGGGGCAAAAATATATGATCCTCAGCATTCCTAGACCAAAAATGAATAGCTACTTTGTTTGTTTGTTTTTACATGACACTTTAATCTACTTTAGTGATGGGTGGGGGGAAAGGTGAGCTGATTTAGTCTTTTGAGACGTTTGGGTTTGACATTACTGGAAACCTTGGTATGTAGTGAGCTCTTTCAAGTCAAGATCCATCTAGATGTTCATAGCAGCTGTGTTAGTTGCTGAGAACACTCACCGGGAGTCAATGGAGGATGTGACAACTGCAGTTTCAAGCAAGGGATTCTCCACAAACCTGCAAATGCTCCTGGCTTCAAGTTCACACTGTCTGCTTTAGCATTTGAGGGTATGTGCTTCCACTAACATAAACTGAGGTGGGCCTGTGTGGAAATTTCTCCTGTATCAAAGCATTAAGAATTTATCCTAAAGGACCTGGCAAATATTCCTGTATCAGAACCTTAACAACATAAGATTACAGAATAATCACAATTCAAAAGACAAAAGATGTTTGAAGGTAATGGCAGTATTGTGTCGTAGTGCAGTACTACTCCTTTAGGCTTTTATTTTATAGCTCAGGGTCACTTATTACCATTTTTGGCCCAGATCTGGCAAAAATTCGTAAATATTCTTTAAAATTTGTGCCTGACATTCAGACTACAAAACTTTGCAGCATTAGATGCAGAGTTTTGAGTGAAACCTGTAACTTACATTTTGGTTTAGAGCTTGACTTACAGAAATCTTTATTCTCATACTTGCCATGTTCAGACTTCTTCCCGTTCCTTCTGGAGGTACTGAGATAAGCACCTGCTATAGTTTAAGCACTCGCCGTTCTGTGTCATACATTTGATCCAGGGCTCTGCTGGAGTCAGCAGGGGCTTTTTCCAGGTAATGACAGCAGTGTTTGCTCCTTCACCTCTTGTGATATTTCTTCCTTCAGGTACCAAGATTGTCTTAAACTTATCTGATTAATAACTATTTTTAACCTTTCCTCACAGGAGTGTTTGCATTTGGACTTTTTGCCACTGACATATTTGTAAATGCTGGCCAGGTTGTGACTGGGAACTTGGCTCCATACTTCCTGACTGTGTGTAAACCCAACTACACTGGAAATGACTGTCGGACCCACCACCAGTTCATCAGCAATGGCAACATCTGCACTGGGGATGTGGAGGTGATTGAAAAGGCCAGGAGATCCTTTCCATCCAAACATGCTGCTTTAAGCATCTACTCAGCTTTATATGCCACGGTGAGTATGGGGGATGATTGCTGACTCTTAGGAGAGTCAGCATCGTACATCCAGATGGAGTCACACAGTGTATTTTTGAAGGAAAAGAGGTTTGTTTCAGGAATAGCTTTCCTCTTCATCCATTCAAGAATCCCCTTCCCTCTCTGTTGTACTAGTAGTAATAAAAGCAAACCAAGTTCTCATTGCTTCTGTAGCACCATGTAATTAGAGGCATGAGCTTTTAATCTCATTTTTGCTGCTGATTTTCTCAGATGCCTTCAACTAACTTCAATTAACTTAATCAGAAATTTCTTCCCCCTGTAGCCAGACCCAAATGAGTGGCAGTCTCTCTATAGGTCATCAGAATTTGAGTAAAATCTTGACAGGTTATTTACTGAATATTTTACCCTTACTTTCGTAGCAAGTGATAAAACATCCCATTGTTGCTATGTAAAGAAGAGGCCACCCACTGTTTCATTTACTTTCTGTTTCCATTGAATTTTGTGTGAATAATGACTGATACATAAACTGTTAACTCCTTTGATCAGGAATTGTTGGAAAGTATTTGCAAAGCTCATAATATTTTGCATGCAGTGCTTCCGAGCAATACAAACTATGTGTGAAACAGAGTTCCCAGCAGACTATGCAGTGTTAGAGAAGCTGTTTTCATTATGATTGTGGGCATGGTGGTGATTGGCTAATGGTTGGATTAGATAATCTTTGTGGTCTTTTCCAACCGCAGTGATTCTGTGATTCCATGGTGGATATTAAGATGGCTGCTTCAGGATTCAGATTGGGTATGCCTTCCATGGACTTTGGTTTCTAGGAAGGCACATCTTCTGGAAACGGCTGATTTCAGCTGAAGGAGAGTAGTACTTTTCCATCCTGAGTTTAAGTCTCCAGCAGTTCAGTGTTTCTTAGCCCTAGGCTGTGAAACACCTGGGTTGCTTTCTCCTTGGTACTAGAGGGAAGCGAATGGCACGAAGGGGGATGATTGCCTTCAGCCCTTGTGGGACAGGTGCATAAATAGGAGAGGCCTGCATCTGATGCTTAAGGTCTAAGGCATAACTCTTTCTGAGCCACAAGTTTTCAGTCTGCAGTACAATTTTAGCCCATACTGCCATACAGTATGGGTGCCTGAGAGTACCCTCCAGCACTAAAGGTGCTGTCACTGATTCTCAAGAATCCTTTAGAGACATCTCTGTACTGAATTGTTCATTACTTTGCTAGTGACAGTGCTCCCATTGTAGTTGGTTTGGCTTTGTGTTGTTCTTTTCCATAATGTTGGTTTTATAATTAATCAAATAGGCTATTTTTTTTTTCTTGTCTCCTGCCAAATAAGCTGAGAACCCAAAATATGATTCTTTTAATTCCTTCAGGCACAGATGAAATTTGTATGCCTAAAGCAGGGGAAGTGTAAAAACAAACAAAAAACAACAAAGAAAAGCCAAACAGCAGCACTGGCTTCCATGCTTACATCAGAACTGGAATTATATCTAATGCAATTTTATTAGTCTTCCAAGTAAGCCCTCCCAGGTAGGGTTGTCTCAATACATAGTGCAAACTGCTGTATAATTAGTAATGTGTGCTTCTAAGGACATTACTCAAGAGAAGATGACATGTTAGAAATATTCCTCAGTTTTTGAACATTTCTGACTCCCCCCAAAAAAGGGAAGAAAATAAAATGTCATATTGCATATAGGCATCCTGGTTAGGCACTCTGAGAAAGGTCATAGGAGAATCAGCTACAAGGGCATCCAGCAAGTGATATTCAACCTGAACACATAAGATTAAAGTATTTCACTGCATTTAAATGATCTCTTATTGTAGCCTCTTGCTAATTCTCCTGTTTGTTTTTTTCTGAAGTGAGAGCAAGCAATGAGAGCTTTTGTACAATCACAGGATGGTCTCTGTGGCTAAAGGCTACAACAAGGCAGTCTTGTCAACATTTTGGTAGTATTTTTAGGATTCTTAAGCTAGGCACTGACCTAACAGTATCCACAAATAACTCCTTCTGTCACTTCCATCTGACTAGAAGACTCCACCTCATGATGGTTGTCACAACCTAGACAACACTAGAGTGATGCAATACTCCTAGACAGTAAACTTGCAGTGTATGGGACATTCTAAATACCTACAGCAAGTCCTTTCAGTAACCCAGGTCACTGTGACCCCACTGTCAATTTCCTCCATTTATACACGTACACCTGCCAGATTAATTGTTGAAATTCAGGGCTCTGACACTTAAGGAAACTTCACTGAACATCCAGGAGGTTGCATAACATTCTGTAAGACAGACAGTTGTCGTTGGCTCTTAGTGTAGAAATTTCCATGGCAAAGATTATCTATAAAGCTTGCAGGACACCAGTTTTTCCAGAACTGGGCTGAAATTGTAATCTTTCCAGGGAAAATAAATCTCCCTCACTTCTACATCAGGACTAGGCAGACTCCTCCACTCAGCCTTCCTCAGCACAGATACACCATATGTTATAAATATATGTGAGCATACATTTACATACGTGTATAAATACAGGCATATATATAAATGTCTGTCTATTTTAAACTTGCAAATGAAAAAAATTTCTCGGCTGTCTATGCTTTGGTCTGTCTGAAAATAGATGGGAGATGCGGGATGAATGCTACTATCACACATTGCACATTGCTAAATACATCGTTTGAGAGTGCTGATAAATACACTAAGGAAGCTGAATAAATTATATAGATAAAGCATATGTTAATTATTTTTGTATATCAATTTTCTCCTTTCCTCACATCTTTTTATATTCATTTCCTCTTCCCCTCTTTCCCCATACACACACACATCAAACAATTCATTTTCACATGTAGTGTTTTGTAAATAATTTTACCTCATAGATAGTAGTCCAGGGAATTTATCAAACACCCTATAGCATGTAGGAAATCAAATTCAAGCAATTTTCACTGAGATTTTGGGCTCTTACATAAGGCTTTGAAAAACTGAAGGGGCAAACATATTGTGAGAATCTTCAAAAAGTGTCTGCATTAGGGACTAAAGCAATAAAGCTAAAGCCACACTGATCCCAAGTTTTGACCAAAATGAAGAATCTCACCCAGTAATTTCCAAGCTCATTTGATGATCTGTGGATGAACTGGAGCACAGATCCAAAAAAAACAGCCTGTCTTGTTTAAAACCCTCCTTGTGATAGAGAATCTATCACTTCCCTTGGCAGTCTGTTTTCATGGTTAATTATCCTCATTGCTAAAAATGTTCTCTTTACTACAAGTTTATGTTTTCCTGCCAAGATGTGTGAATCTTGAGTGCTTTAGGTGACATCCCATCTGTAGTAGTGAAACTCCCACATTAGTAAGGGAGTCCTGCATGACATTGTGGTTGCCAAATTGGAGAAAAATGGATTTGCAGGATGGACTACTCACTGGATAAGGAATTGGTTGGATGGTCACACTTTGATAGTTGCGTTCAATGGCTCAGTGTCCAAGTGGAGACCAGTAATGAGTGGCATTCCTCAGAGATCAGTGCTGGGACCAGTGTTATTTAACATCCTTGTAGGCAACACAGACAGTGGGATTGAGTACACCCTCAGTGAAATTGCAGATGACACAAACTGAGTGGTACAGTCGACATACTAGAGAGAAGAAATTCCAGAGGGACCTGGACAGGCTTGAGAAGTGGGACCATGCCAACCTTATGAAGTTCATCAAGGCCAAGTGCAAGGTCCTGAACCTGGGTCAGGGCAATCCCAAGTACAAATACAAGCTGGAAGGAGAATGGCTCTGAGGAAAAGGATTTGGAGGTTTTGGCTGATGAAAGACTCGACATGAGCTGGCAATGCACACTTGCAGCACAGAAGGCCTTGTGGGATGCATCAAGAGAAGCATGACCAGCAGGTTGAGAGAGGTGATTTTGCCCCTCTACTCTGCTCTCGTGAGACCCCACCTGGTGTACTGCATCCAATTCTGGGGCCCCAACACAAGGACATCAAGCTGTTGGAGTGGGTTCAGAGGAAGGGCACGAAGATGATCAGAGGACTGGAGCACCTCCCCTACAAAGACAGGCTGAAAGAGCTGGGGCTGGAGAAGGCACAGGGGTACCTTATAACACCTTTCCTGTACCTGAAGGGGGCCTACAGGAAAGCTGGGGAGGGTCTTTTTATAAGGGCAGGTAGTGAGCAACCTGGACTAGTGGGAGGTGTCCTTGCCTGTAACAGGGGAATTGGAACTAGATGATCTTAAAGGTCCATTCCAACCCAAAGAGTTCTATGATTCTAGCATGAGTAAGCTAAACATCATTTCATCTCTTAGCCTTAAGAAAATAAGCAGGGATTAATTGATCTCTCTAGCTGGAGATTGCAGCTGTCACAGCAGGGCTGCATTCTTGCTTTAAGGAAGTAATTATTTTCCTTTGGATGTTGTAAATTGCAGCAGTGCTTTGGTGGGGAATTAGAAAGCAATCTTTGAATTGCTCATTTGAAGTGGCCTCTGCAGGAAGAAATGCACAGGGTGAAAGGATGGGGCAGTAATTATTCACACAGCGGCTCTTCACTTAAATAATATTTTTTCCCTATTGTTTCCAAAGAAAAGCTTTAACGTGAGTTTCAGTGTTGGTCAGGCTCAGCTCAAGCTACCGGCAAAACTGGGGCAAGATTGCCACCTAGTGTCATTTGGTAGCTGTCATTTCAAGGTGTGTGCATTCCCATGTCGGATTGGAGAAACAAAGGGAGCAGGAGCCCCCAGTGTAACTTAGTCCCATCTCAGTTCTTTTATATAATGTTCCACTTCACAAATTGAATTCACATTTATCTGATGCGTTCACTAGAAGACTTCATTTCCTCAGGCAGAGATCTAGCAAATCCAGCTGTTAAAAGTTCAGTAGTGCAGTTGCTTGGCAGCTGGCAGAGTAGTTTTGTCCAGGTACGAGCAGATATACCCCACTGGTCAGTTGCTCTGCTCCTTTATGTACCAGCAGGTCAGTGCCCACATCTAAAGGCAGCATATTGTAATGGTTTTAGGGCTAATTTGTTTAACACCAGCCAGAGAGGGGAAGCCAGCACCAGAGGCATTTGATAGACCAGACAGTGAGAATGAGGAAAAAAGTAGGACAGGGAGAAAGTTTAAATGAAATAATACATATAGTAGAGCAGAAGAAAGGGATATATAGGAGGCAATGGACAAGGTGGCCTTGAGAAACATCATTTCAGTTTCAACGAACAGGGACACCTACAGCTCCATCAGGTACTCAGAGCCCAGTTCAACCTGACCTAGAATGGCTACAGAGATGGGGCATCCACCAGATCTCTAGGCAACCTGTGCCAAAGCCTCACCAACCTTATTGTAAAAAAACTTCTTCTTCAGGTCCATTGATAAATCTCCCCTCCTTTAGTTTGAACCTGTTTCCCCTTGTTATATCACAACTGACTCTGCTACAGATTCTGTCCCTTTCTTCCCTACAGCCCCCTTTAGATACAGGTAGGCCTCTCTCAGGTCTCCCCAGAGCCTCCTCTTCTCCAGGCTGAGCAGCCAGCTCTGTCAGCCCGCCCTTAACAAATCTTGGGCGTTCTTGTAGGTACCTGTGCTTGATGAAAATGATCTTATTGTATTGTTTTTCTCGTCAGACTCAATTTGCTTATCTTCAGCATTTTGAGGCTCTGGAATTAATGACTAGCCACTAATTGTGACACAAGTTTTTACTGTTCTGTTGTGTTTGTTTGTTTGCTTGTTTTTTCAAAATGCATTTAAAATAAATTATTAACTGCTTAAAACATGTCGAATTCACTGAACAACATTGTGAGCATAGTGAAACTTCGAGCGCTAGAATTACATTTTCATAATCAACTCTGCTTTGAAAGAAACCTTTCTTTTATCCTGAATTTCATTTTGCCTTGCAGAAAATGTCTGTAGTGGTTCCTCTTAATGCTAAGAATCTGTTTCTTAACCTGACTACTGCTTAGAAAGCTATAGGTGGCATGAATAGGTTCTATGTTCTCACTATGTTAACTTAACACTATGTTCTCATCACAGTTCTGCAGGAATTGTTTGCAAACATTGAGTCATTTACATTCAGCACATATTTGCTGCCATTTGAGCAAGTGCTTAAAAAGGTCAAGACAGTGAAACTGAGCTGTACATAATAGCTCAGAAATCCAGTACGTAGTAAATACAGTTGATTGGATATTTTACATCCTGAAACATCACTTTTCAGAACCTGTTTTATTTACCTGAGAGTATTCGCTGAGTTATCATAAATCTCTTCCTCCATTTCTCAAGGCTTTTATTCATGAACTGTGGATTTTGTCACATCTCTGCTGAATTATGATATGACTAGAAGGAAAAAAAAAAAAAAAGTTTTGTGCCAAATTCCTTTTCAATTTTGGTCGTACTTCTTTCAGATGTACATCACAAGCACAATTAAAACAAAGAGCAGCAGGCTAGCCAAACCTGTCTTGTGCCTGGGCACCCTGTGTGCTGCATTCCTCACCGGGCTGAATCGAGTTTCCGAGTATCGAAACCATTGTTCAGATGTGATCGCAGGCTTCATCCTGGGAAGTGCAGTCGCCTTGTTTCTGGTAAGCCTACCAATTCTTCCCCATTCCTTTTAGAAGTATGTGTTTGAAATAAACATAATATTGCTCCTCTCCTGTGGTCTCTTGGAGCTAATTAAACCAACTGTTAGGAACTAATTCTAGCCCCTTGTCATGAGTGTGCCATCAGAGAAAACTCTAATATGAAATCAAGCTGATATTAATTAATAAGGCTAATATGATGACATTTGTGTATTCATGTGTATTTCAAGATTATTTTATTTTAATTAACTGACCATGCTTCCACATGACTTTCCCGGAAAAATGCTTTGAAAATGGTGTAGGATTTCAGTTAATGTCCAAAGAGAGGCAGAATGTTTGAGACTCGTTCCCTCACATATTGCTAAACTGCTGGCGACCTTCTATGGGCAGAAATGCGTTTTTCTGGGGTTCTGAGCAGTAGTCTTCATTTTCCTCTTTGTTTTTGACCACAGAAGAAGTGCAATAGAAAGGAAAGTCAGGAGAAACTCCCTTGGAGACAGAACTACTTAAATAGTGAACATGGCAGTGATTGGTTAACAGTTTGATCTTAGTGATCTTTTCCAGCCCTGATGATTCCATGATTTGATTGGTTCATTAGGATAATCACATGTATTAAAACATGCCATCAGTAGCCTTTCCTCAGAATCTTGGAACAGTGTCCTCCTCTAGACTTAGAGCATTACTTACTCCACTGTTGATTGTGTGGTGTGCTTTGCATGGTGAGGGATCTCTTGCTGAGGATTTACCCCACACAGTACTCAAGGTGATTCCCACTGTTACAAAAGAACAAAATGTTCATAATTCCATTTAAAAGCTATATCCTTCAAAACCATCCACTGTGTAGCTACAAACATTTTCTTTCTCTGTATACTCCACAATCACCATTCACCCAGGCTGCATCCTACTCCTTAGTCAGATCTAAAGAGCAGCAAAAAACAGCCAGCAAGGAACTGGCTGCAGGATATGCTCTGGCAGCAGATGTATGAGTTTCTGCATGCCTTCTTTCCATTCTGTTCCTAAACCCTAAGCAAATATGTGTAAGGTGAGGCCTTACTGGTATCATCATGCACAACAGCAGGCCTTGTAGGATGAACATTGCAGGAGTTGTGCTGGAATTATGCAATTGTGGTGCTAAATGAGCTTGGTGCCATCCAGATGTGAGGAATGACTAGTGACTGAATGAGCTGTTTTTAATGTTTGGAATTGGAAGTCACAATCCCAAGGGATTATTTGGTTGAGACAGTGCAGCAACAACCTAGTCCTAGATTTTGTGATGATAAAGCAGACATGATGGGAGTCTGCTGTATAAAACAAAAGAAAGCTGAGAATGATTCAGCCAAGAGGATGAACCCTTTTACTAAGATACCCAGAAGGCCAACTATGACAGTCAGTGCACTGCAGCCGAATGAGACAGACAGTGCCTCTACTCAAAATCCCAAGGTGAAGTTATGTGCAAAAACTTGCAGTTGAGAGACCTGGGTGGGAATTGCTGTGAGTTACTTCTCTGGACAACACATGCTGACTTCATTATGTTTGTCTTCATTTTTCACATTGTGCAGGGGATATGTGTTGTCCATAACTTTAAGGGCACCCATGGAGCTCCTTCTAAACCGAAGCCTGAAGACCCACGAGGAATGCCATTAATGGCTTTTCCAAGAGTTGAAAGTCCTCTGGAGACACTGAGTGCACAGGTACTGTAAATCCTCTCACCCATACCATCACAAAGTGTATTTTCCATACGGCAGACTGAAAACTGGAGCTGGTTTCATTCCTAATACTAAGCCCACTGAACAATGAGAATATGCATCAGAATATGCAACAATGAGAAAACTGGAGCTGGTTTCATTCCTAATACTAAGCCCACTGAACAATGAGAATATGCATCAGGGGAGATTTTTTAAAGGCATTTATCCTTTGAGCCACCAAATTCTGTAGATCTTCTTCTCCTCTTGCGCATCCAGAACTTAATCAGTAGGATTTCACATGCCTTCTGTGCAATAGCAGAGTTTTGCTTAGAACAGTAAACTGAGAGAAAAGTAAAGATAAGTGTGTAATCACACTTAAGAATGCTTTTGGGATGTCTTAAAGGTTTGCTTTAAGATTTATAATCCCGAGGATAACTTGCGCTGTCCAGTGAGGATAAAAATTAGATTTTTATCCTTATTACTGCTCAGTAATGTCTAAATTAAGAAATATTATACTGTTTTCTATCTAAGCCATCAAAGAAGCTAACTTTCTCTCAAGTTTGCAAAAAAAAAGCTAGTGTAATTATGATCACTGATGATGTTGTTGTTAAACAGCTAACTTGGATAGCTTGTGTTGGCATAAATGAAACCTACCCAAAACAAACAAGCAAATGCCATCTGCCAAGAATTCCTTGGAACAAGGAGGAATTGTAGTTCATCAGTTGTCTGAAATGCCCTTGTGGAGTTTGTCCTTTAAATTGTACTTCCTGCATTAGCTGTCTGCTTGGTTTGTGGCAAGGTTAGTACTATCTTTTGTCAAACCTTTGGCAAATTAATTGAAAATAATCATTTAAAGAAAATGGAAAAGATATTTCTAACACTTGGAAAAAATTTGCTTAATTGAATAGTCAGTTGTGATCGACTTGTAGCAAAACTCTGCTGGAAGACTTTCAAATGATTGTGCATCTAGTTTTCTCTTGGTGGACTTGCAGTCCAGAAACAAAATCCTTCTATACTGCACTGTATATGACAGAAGAGGTAAAAGCATTTACAGATTATGAAAAATTTTGTCTAGTCATCTATTTATAGCTTCTGGACTGAGAGGTGCAGGTAGGGACTGAGCCTTAACTGATGATGTGCGCTCTAATCAAGAAGGTAATTTTGTCTGATTCAGGGTATCGGTTTCTAAATGACCATACACCTAATAGGCAGGGGTTAAAAAAAAGAAAGAGAAGAAAAATATGATCCTACTTTGAAGCCATTAAGAAGCTATTATAATTAATCCCTGGAATGGCTGCTCGTTAGTGTTCCTTCTGACATAGGGAATATCCTTCTCTTGGAGATTTCTGCATCTGTCCCCACTCGTGTTTTCCTTGCATGCACACAAAACCTGCAGATGCAGTGTGATTTGAGGACAAACCAGTGCTGCTACCAAGCTCCTGGACACTGGCTTCCAAGAATCAGCACTGTCTGTTTTGACACAAAGAGGACTTTTGTGCCTGCCTGTGTTTTGCCATACTTACCCTCCATGTAAGGTTTCTTAATGGTTTTAATGGTTTTAAGCTCTGTAAGTTGCCTAGCATTGAGCTGTAGGATCTACACACGCACATCACACAAAGCCAAACATGTGAAATGACATTATGTTGTTTACAGACTCTTAGTGACTGAGGATAGGCACATGAGATGGCATTAGCTACGTGACTGTAAGGAGTGCTATGAACCCACACTGACGTGTGCCTCTGGACAGAATTCAGTCCAGTTTGAAAATTCCCAGGAAAAAGTGGCACCTTGTTTTGCAGAACAGCTAGTGAGTGTTCACAGCCCAGGAGCAGGGCTCAGTTCAAGCTGCCTGTCATAAGCTCGCAACAGACAGCAGTCACATTTGCAGCCATTTCTTCCTCTAAAGCACTACGCTGGTTGGGTGACAAATGTCACATCTCTGCATTTGATGAAGGGCCTTCTCATTCATTCCACACAACATATGTAAGTGACATGTACCAGTGCTCATGTGTCTGTGTTTTCATCTTTGCAGAATCACTCTGCCTCTATGACTGAAGTGACTTGAGATGGAAGACTGGCAGCAGAAGCTATTTTTTATTACCCTCCAGTACAATACTTCAAGACACACAGTTACTAAGTGTCAGACTGTGATGATCAGTATTATGTTATGTCTAGTTAGAAGCTAATGTTTTGTACATTTTTTTGTATGAGGAAGTGATGTAGCTTGCCCTGATTTTTTGTCAGCTTTAATATTATTATGCCAGAATTTAAAATCAAAATAGAAAAAGAAAAAAAAAAGAAAAAAAAAAAAAACCCAAACCTTTTCTTGTTTAAAGTGTGCACTGAGGAATTACATCTATGGAATTGTTGGTGTTGTTATGTGATATTTGTACACGGGTTTTTTTCATTTTTGAATTAATATATCTTGAGAAAAAATTCACTTTTACCTTTTCTTACCATAACAAAGTGCTTCAACCAGCAGGTCAGATTCTGATCTTGGTAAGTTCTGAAGTAATTACATATATTTAACTCAGATGAAAATAATGGTGATCAGAAATCTAACCCAAACTAACAAGTAGTAAACATCCAGCCTTGATTCAGTGAGCTACTTAAGCAAGCCTTAGCATCACAGACTTCAGCTAGCTGTGCAGCTTCCAAACTTGGCAGATCTGATGTATGCTTAAGTATCTGACTGAATCAGAGCCTGGTTGTTCTGGTGTGAGTGATTGTGCTAGTTATTGAAGAATAACTAAAGTGGCGTATCCAGTCTGTAATATAGACAGACTGGACATGAAAATTTATAGTAGTAGCTGATAGCATGTGAGCTGACTATATCATGTCCCTAGATCCTCCCCTAGGCCCAGCCTAAGCTCCCAGTGGAACCTGGCTTCAGGAACTGACTATGGGGATATACAGCCATCACTGTGGAGCGGAGGCTGTGCTGTAAGTGTGTCATAACTTCATCCTAGATTTATGAGGTAACACTGATACAAGGGAAAGGTGATGCCACATCTTCTGTGAAGTGGCATTACTGAGTATTCAGATTGGCCTCAGCATTGAGCCAGTTGTGCCCTGACAATGTTGTTTTCACTGAGGGGCTTTGGTAAGTTTAAAAAAATAAAATAAAAAATTTGAATACCTAAACTGACACAGTCTGTAGTAGCAGTCTGCATTTTTGTAAATACTGCCATGCAGAATTTCTATCTGTACAGCTATCTCAAAATTCGGCAACACTCTTTAAGGAATAAAGAGATAATTGGGGGTTGGGGAGGCAGGGGGAGATCAAAAAGAATGCATATATCATGGTGAGAGCTGGGGCAAAGGCTTCATTACATGATGTCTCACTGTTTCTAGGCTTTTCCTGCATCTCATCCTTGTAGCATGGTGATAACTGCTGTGTGTCTCCTTTAAAGAATGGAGCCTCTGTCTGTACTTTTACTGGAATGTTTACCTCACATTTCCATTTTGGTTCTTCGCTTTTTTTTGTATATTTTTTTCCAAAACAGATGAAAAAAAAAAAAAAAAAAAAAAAAAAAAAAAAGTAGTGTGGTTTCTGTCTCTTCTGTATATTGCTGCACAAAGAAAACATGGGATGTCTGTTTGTGTCTTGTCATGCAGTAATTTCTCCATGTAGGTATTTTCTCATGACTCTTCTGATGTCTGCTGTCTGGGTCAGTCTTAGGAATGTCAGGATCAGACTTGGGCCATACAGAACCATGAGGAATCACGAGAAGTGTTCTGAGGCCTTCACTACAACTTTGATCCAAATTCCCTCAAACTGGGGGAGAACTGCTGAATAAACTTGGCTGGTTCTGCTGTCTTAGGAAGATAATGGCATTAGGGAAGATCATCAGCAAAGAATACTCCATCTGATATGCCCAGTCAGCAGCACCTCATCATGCTCCAAAGGGCTAGCAGGGGAAATGAATACTAAAATAAACCCAGTTATATTCTGTATCTCATTTTTTGCAGATGTGGTCCATGGGGTTTTTTGGGTTTTTTATTCAGAGGTACAACTTTCTCAGTGTGCCATTTACAGCAAGTTTAGGCAGCTTCTGTACAGAGACCTAACAGTGGCTTCCACAGTCTCTAGTTAAGACGTATTGCCTAAAATAAATACATTGCAATGCTGTGCTTTTCATCAGTATTGCATCACCTTAAAGTGGATGTACAGTTCTTGGGAGTACATTTCATGCAAACCTGGCCTACGTAATGCAACTGGCAGCTGTAGCTGAGCGGCATGCTAGGGCCAAGTGATCCTGCTGGATGGCCGTGGCCTCTCTTGCTCCCTGGCCAGTACCGCAGGTGTACCCAGGACTCTTCTTGTTCCTCCTGGCTCCTTCTAGTATGTGAAAGAGAAATTAACATTGAGTAATAGCTGCTACAAGGGCCAGCAAAACTTAGAATACAAAAACTAGGTCACAGAAGAATGCCAGAAGCTACCTTGATGGCTGCTGAGAGTTCACTGCTACAGAGCAAATAGGTTTCAGAGCTCTGCCTGGCAATCACTATGTTCATATACTAATTTTTAGTAGAACAAGTAGAGTTCTATTTTAAGATGATGTCTGTGATGGGTTTTAGAAGCATTTCTAACACAATTTTGATTCTCAGAAAGGCAAGAGGAGGGGACAGCGAAGATGCCAGCATACATCCCCACACCTTCTCCAAGAATTTGCTGGCTTAGTCTTGGTGACTGAGCTAAACAGCATCACAAAACAGAGCAACACACACTCACTGAATCCCATTACACAGCTTGGAATGAAAGACAAGATGTTTATGAGCAGCATCACTTTAATTACCCCCACTAGACCTGCAGCTGTTAAGCATCACAACACTATTTCATTAAGTACAACTTCCACTTTTTCAGTATACAATAAAAAGAAACAAATCTGAAAACAAATGGATGCATTTTTATTGGTGATATTCATATCAGGTTGATATAACAATGAAATGGTTCTGCTCCAGCTCCACAATTTGGCCTTAAGAATCCAACCAAAGTGCAGTGATGCTTCCCAGTCTCACCGCTTCCAGGCAATCTTCAAGTTTGGGGGCAGTTCTGCAGCACACAGCTCATCAAACTTAGACATATCCTTCACAGGAGTGCTATAGAAAGTCAGGACATCTTGTGCACTGCACATCAGGTGGAGCTGTGAGTTGGGCACAGCATGACCAAGTTCTTCTGCAAGCTGAGCCAGGAGCCGATATTTCAACCTGTTGTCTTTCAGAGACGTCTGCTGCCAGTTGCCAGCAAGTGATGGCCCACAAATCTCCTTGACACGAGCCTCGAGGATGCTCTGTATGTCCTCTGGAGGAAAATACTTTCTGCTGCGTGGCGGGGGACAGATCAGGCTGGGTTGCTTTTTTTCTTGAGGAATTACGTTGTCCTCTCCTACTTCTTTGTCCTCCTTACTGCTGGCATTAAAGAAAAGTATTTTCAGTCACTAAAGCTGTGCCCAGACATTTAAAAACGCCTCCCAGCAGAGCCAACTGCCTGCAACGGCGGACCGTACCGCCAGCCCAAGACGCAGCCCAGAGCTCTCACCTGTGGCCGCCCCACAGCGCCCGAAGCGGCGTGCGGCCCAGCCCCATTCTCAATCGCCGTCCGACCACCAGCAGCCCTACGGCGGCCGCCATCTTGCGAAGAAGCCTCACCCCCGACCGGAAATGACGTTGCTGCTCTTGACCGGAAATGACGTCAGCACCACCTTCCGCCGTGCTTGACGGGAGCCGTAGTGCCGCTCCAGTGCTCTCGCCGTGGTTTGTCCTGCGGGCTGCGCTGCGGCGCAGGGCGCCGGGACAAGAGCCGTTTTCCTGTGTTCTGTAAGAGCGAGAAACAGCGCTCGGTGCAGCGAACGTTGATCTGTCCTGGCCGTAAGTGAGTCAGTCAGAAACAAGCGTCGGGGCGCAAGATGTCACTTCAGCTGCGTCTCACGCAGTGTGAACGGCAGCTGTCCCCCGCACAAACGGGAGTTACCTGGCAAAGCCAAGGCGCTCATTTTCGAAAGGGGGAGAGGGTCTTTTGCTGGATTCAGGGGATGCCTTTTCCAAACTTTGCATCGTGCTGCAATGAGCTGCTCGCTGTGAGCAGAGCTTGTTGGAATTCAGGTGTATGGAGATGTAGGGGACCACACCTGAACCAGAAGAGAGGTGCTGTGCCTGACCCTGCTGCTGGCGCCTGAGTGCCTTCTGACAAGTCACTCAGTTCGTATATTACTGGTTTACCATGGTCAGGATGGGATGAATGCACGCACGAATTCACAGCACTGGAACAGGCTGCCTGGAGAGGTTGTGGTGTCTCTTTATGGAGATAATCAAAACCTGTTAGGATGCTTTCCCATGCAGCCTTCCATAGGGAGCCTGCTTGAGCAAGGAGTTGGATTGGAGGATCTCCAGATGTCCCTTCCAATGCCTCAATTCTGTGAGTGTGTGATTACTCAGTGGTTGGATCTCTGTGATGCACTGCCTCTAAAATGGGTGGCTGTTAACAGGAAGGGCACCGTGAAGTTACAGGAAAATGATTCACCTGCTTTCTTTGCTGCAAGAGCAGTAGGTGCCAATGGCTGGGACAAGCAGAGCACCAGGGTGTGGATGCGCAAGCTGGGTCCTGGGTGACCTCACCTCCATTACCAGGTAGGTGAACCTGAAGGTGGAGTTCTGACCCCCACTTCCAGCTGAAGGAATAAGCTTTCTAAGAGGGAATGAGCACCTTCAGGCTTGTATGGTCTTCACGGGTTGGTGGACTGCCCCAGGGTCTTATCAGGTGATCAGTGTTTTATATTGCCTGGCAAACATTCTTTTGCTTACTTTAGTTCTGCTGTTTCTACCTTTACAGCAAATAGAACTACATTTTATTTTTCACAACATTTAGCACTTTTTTCATAATAGCTGTGTAATTGTACTTTAAGAAAGCTTAGCATCGCTATCAAGTACATGACAACGTATCACAGGTCAAACGGTGGGCCTTCAACATCAACATAATTATTCAAATTGTGCTATGTGGGTAGAAATTACTCAAATTAAGCCAGCTTAAGTTCTTTACCGAGAGAGTGGTGAGGTGCAGGAACAGGCTGTCCAGAAAGGTTGTGGATGCCCTGTCCCTAGAGGTGAGCTGTTCAAGGCCAGATTGGATGGGGCCCTGGGCAGCCTGGTCTAGTATTAAATGTGGAGGTTGGTGGCCCTTCCTGTGGCAGTGGGGTTGGAGGTTCATGATCCTTGAGGTCCCTTCCACCCCTCGCCATTCTGTGATTCTGTGATCAAAATCCCTCCCTGCACGCTTATGGCTGATTGCTCTGAAAATATTACAATAATAGCACCAAGGAAAATAGTCCTCACATTTCTTATGCTACCCTAACTCAGTGTCTGGCAGCCTTGTCAAGCCAAACAAAATGCATAATTCTCTCTAGGAAGGATAAACTTTTAATGGCAGTGTTATTTAGCTTAGTGTAGAGCTTCTCATGTACACTCTGAGCTTTTCTCAGTGTCTGTCTTCAGTTAGCAGGATTAACATCTCCAGTTTTATCATTACTGGCTTATTTCATTTAGACCTCTGCAGGATTTCCCAAGCTCAGCAACAGCAACACTTTGTCTTAATGTTTATGGTGCTGCTGAGAACCACAGAGGCATGAAAAAGAATGAAAGATTTATAAAAAATAAGGATTTGTGAGATATATTGGATTTTAATTATTGTTTTATTCACACAACTAAAGATACACATAGATTCTGTAATTCAGGATTTGACTGCAAAGTGAGGTAATGGGGGTATCTATCTGAGTTACTAGGGAACTACTACTACTCTGGGAATTAAGTTTAAACTAGGAGAGTGGATTTGTGATTCAGTGTTAGATGTTTCTTGTGTGGAAAGAATTATGTTTTTTGAAAGTGTAAGTGAAAAAAAAGAATATCCCCTTTGTAAATTGTGGAAGCCAAGGTAGGAGAGTAAACTAATCCATTTCCAGTTTTGTTCAGGGAAAGGGAAATTAGGTTTCTTTGTTTTTCTTTCATTTCTGAGCATCTTCCACCTTGTGGAGAAGGACAGGACAAATGCAGATTCCTGTGCTTTCAATAGGTGTAGCTGGCAGTGAAAAGTGACTGTGTGGCAGCTGCGTCACTCTTCCCAGATGTGACATACTGTCCTCTGCAAGCCAAACTATTAATCTGAAAAAGAAAAGGAGGGAAACCCAATAACACAGAGTGAGAAAGAGATGTAGAACAATAGTAGGAATGAACAAAGGGCATAAATAGGGGAAAATCAGTCAACTTCTGAATTCACCAATGTTACGTATGAGCTAGATTAGTTTTGTGGCCCTGCCAAGTCAGCTCCCAGGGATATCTCTCTGGGAGTCACGTGGTTATGCAGAAAGGGGAACAATTTTTTCAGACCAACACAAAGTAGTTGTAAATCCACTTTACAAAACAAAATTATCCTGTTGCCTCTAGTAACAACCTTTGTTGCTTCTTGCATTAGGCTTCTGTCACACCAACCAAAACAACAACTTTGGTGCAAATTAAGCAGCACTTCTCTGCATCAAGGGAAAGGCCTCATACCTGAGCCCGCTTGCAGAAGGCTTCCTGTGCAGCCTTCTTGTTCTCTGATTTGCCAAGCCATGCTGCCAGGGCAGAGGCTTGCAGAGCTCTCCCATATGAGAAGGTCAGTTTCCAAGGCTTAGGCAGAGGGGACTGATTCATGGCATTCAGGTTGAGAGAAGCCTCCTCTTCACTTTGACCTCCAGACAGGAAGCAGATTCCTGAAAGACAGAGGCCTCAAGACTTAGAAATAGGTTGCTCCATCTGCCACACTTACTGACTATGACAGAGAAGTCAGCGTATCACATGTAGGAGCAAGTCTAGTAAAACTGAAAGGTTTTTTGTTGTTGTTGTGTTTTTGTTTTTGTTTTTTTTTTTTACTATAAGAACTACTCAAGAATCACCAGGAACAGCAGCAGGAACAGTGCGGAGGAGAGTAGTGACAGTTGCTACAGCCACATCCTGAGGGGTGTACTTCTTGGGGCAGGAATGCCCAGCTGTCACCATGTTAGGTTTCAGCAGTGTTCCCTCCAGGTAGACATGATGGTCGTTCAAGGCCTTGTAGACAGCAGCCAGAACCTAATGATTGAAAAGGAGGATTGAATACAAACCTGTCCTCAAATCTTTACCTCAACCTGCTGTGGAAAGACAACTTATTCCTTGGAAGCGTGAGAAGATCAAATCACATCTCACTTTCTCTTAGAATTTATTACAGGAGGTGCGGTCCTAGAGAGCCCTGGAGAACTTTTGCAGTACCAGAATACCACTTTTCGTTTTGGCAAGGGTTGTCCCTGCAACTGAGGTACTGAACAAAGAGTAAAGCACTTTATGTATCTTTCTGAGGTCAAGAATGTTTATATTGAGAGTTTGAATGGAAATCCAAAAATCATGGATTCTACTGCAAGTTTGCTTTTTGCTTATTATTTGATGTGAATTCATGTGGTGCAGTTTTGAAGGAACTTATTCTTTAAAAATGCTTGAGAGCAATACAAACTCTGTGTAAGAATAACTAGTGATTTGTGAGGGCAAGCAGAGAATAAGGAATCTCTTTACCTTTTCTGTGACATACTGACAGCGTTGGAGATCATGGTCACCATCAGGTAAGACTTCTGGCTCCACAATGGGCACCAAGCCATTCTAAGGAAGAAAAACATGGGAGTCTTTGTAAGTGTGGAAGAAAAAACTACTTGCCATCCGTATTGTGTTTGGTGGTATTTTTTCTTGCTTTACTGCCCTTCATCCTCATCTTTCCCAAACCCCCCCCAGAGATCAGCCTTTCAAGATCTCTCACCTGTTATCACAGGGAACAGCAAGGAAGGGGCAACAGAATCTCAAGAAATTTTTCTGGAGGGTAGATACCTGCTGGCAGATGCTGGCGTAACGTGCCAAGGTGTTGGCATTCTCTTGGATGGCAAGTTGAGAGGGTGTTGTGCTACTGATCTTCAACACTGCACGCCACTTGCCAAAGTCAGCACCATCTTTCTTGTACTGGGCACAGCGCTCAGCCAGTTTGTCAAGTCCTGCAGATGAAAGAACAGTGCTTCACTGAGGGGATAAGATACAGCTGTGAAACATGCAGTGACACCAGCCATGGCTGCATCTCCTGAGTCGCACCATGGCTTTCACTTTATCACTCACAACTGGGGCTTCTGAGATCTCACCTTACCTTGGATGGTGGTTTCTCCATTTGTTCCTGCCAGAGGTGCAGTGCCTGCATCCAGCTGAAGAGACAGCAAAAATAGAAAGGGTTACAAAATGACAGGAGTGACCCAGAGTGGGTCTACCTTTGCACATTGACTGTGACTGAAATACGGGGCTGAACACACTACTAGTGTAAGGGAGGGAAGGGGTGGTAGAAAGAGGTGCAGCAAAGGGGAAGAACAGAATTGAATTGTATATAAATGGCAGTATGGATTTGGCTGTAGTGGATGACCTAAGAGTTCTTTTAGCATGAAAGGATGCAACTCACCTTTATTCCCACCACCATCCCTTTTTCTTTGATGATAGCTGGAAATGGCTTTCCACTGCTGTCTTTCTGATAGAGTGTCTCATGGAAAAGGATCACTCCTCCAATGCTCTTGCTGATGGAAGCATCAGAAGAGAAGAGGATTTCTCGAAAAGCACGACGATTCTCCTCTGTGTTTTCCACGTTGATCCTCTGCAGCCTATTTCCCATGGTACCTAATAAAGTTGCCAAAGGGCAGGCAAATGTATCAGGCTTTGCTACCCTCCTAGCCACCATATATAGTAAATAGAAAGAACTTGGGCTATAGTGTAGAGCTTTCCTCAACACACAGTTTGTCACCTTCTGCTGCTTCAGATGCAGCTCTGGGTAGCTGAGCTGTCCCTGATCAGTTAACAGTTTTTAAATGTTTTTTATTTACTCCACTGAATTCAAAGATGAACGAAAATAAAAAGTCTTGGGTATTGCAAATTGATTGCTTTTCATAACTCACCGACTGATTCATCTGCAGCTAAGATCCCTTTTCCTGAAGCCACAATCCTCTGAGCAATGTCTGAAAGAGCCTTCTTCTGCTCTGGAGATAGAGCTGGGAACTGGTGGGTCATGGTGACTTATCTGTGGAAAAAAAGGGCAGTTATGAGGACAGACTGAACAAACAGTCCACCTTAGACACTAGCCTTGAGTATGCCTATTGGAAGCTTTGTGCTTGTCCAGCCCATGCTGTTGAAGACATATGTCCAGAAATCTAGTGAGTTGTTCTTGTATCTCTGGCAAAATCAGAACAGGGAAGAGCAGGAGCCACATCTAAACATATCTTAGTCAATCAGAAGGTGTGAATGACTGTGTATTTTATACAGATTTGCTTGGAGACTAAAGGAAGGTTATGCTCCATCCCCTCCCCCCCCCCAAAACAAATGTGTTGAATTTACAAGCAGGCACATTGCGGACACTGCAAAATTCTTTGCAAAGCACTTGCAGCCTGTTCGTTCTAATAAGAAAACCAACAGCTTTCACACAGTTTGCTTTGTCTGACTGCCTTTTCAGTTCTTCTCTCCTGCTTTGTTCTCTAATTCTCTCCTCCCCATATCTAAGGACTGTAGAGCATTGCTTACTCTTCATGAGAAGTGGGAGGTTAGTAGGATTCACCACCCATTTTTGTTTTCTCACTTCTGGTAGATGCTTACCAGATGCACATAACCAACCAGCTCCTGAATTTCAGGATCTGTCTTGTTCTGACACCATATTTGATCTTAGTAAATCTCTCATTAAACAGGATTAAATTATAGTTTAGCATCTGAGTAGCCCAAGATAATTCTCTATACACGTGTGCTTGTGAGTCTGAGCTGGAGACTCTCTTTTCCTCTGTCATCATCTTCTATAGATGCAGGACAACCAGTCCACCAGCACATGGTACATCCATGAGATAAATCATTAAAAACAACACCAAAGAAGCACTTGATTAAAAACAGTGACTTGCTATGCAGACTGGTGAGGAACAACTCTATTTGTTCACAGCCTCTGTGAAAAAAGCTTGCAAATTGCAGGTACTCCAAAGTTGAATTAATGAATTACCAAGCCAGTAAAAGGATTTCAGATTTACAGCTTGTAGTGTGCTACAGCATGAGCAGATGTATCCAGGTAATCTTTTGTCCAGCTAGTTGAGATACAAAACCATCACTCTAGTAACACTATTATGGATTCTCTCTAGTAATACATTAAGCAACAAGACTTATGTCTCATATCTTGCCTGTTCCCTGTGCTTGCATAAAGATAGGAAAAAGGCATTTATCACCCAAGAACAGCCAGCAAAGCAAATTGCTGAAATGCAGGAGTATGAGGTTTCAGTGGTTAGTACTAGCCCAAATGTGTACTCTGAAAGACTGAAACAATAAAGTGTAGTTCCACAAGGCAAAAATGAACAGTAGGACATCAGATTAATTCCAGTTCTCACACAGGAATCTTACAGAGTGGAAAAGGATAGGTGGAGGCTTTTCAAAAGTCTCTGCAAAGTGATATGTAGAGGCCATGGTGAGTGGTTCACAGCTGCTCTGCTGAGCTACCGTGAGTAATAAAATGCACAGTGTGTCTCACTGAAATGGTGAAGAAGTGAAAGCAAAAGAGCAATTGTAAGGTGAGAAGTAGCTCCAAGGTCAAAAATGTTAAAAGACCCTGCATTTAGGATTTTATTTTTCTGTGAATCTCTGGTGAAGAAGGATTGCACGCAGGCTGCCATGGCTGGACAGCCCATTTCATTCCTCCATGAAGGAATTTTATTCTCAGTAACAGCATCTAGAATTGTCCCCCCACTAAAGTTTCTCAAGAACATTTTTTTTCACCCACTTTAGTCTGTCAGCTAGTATGGTAAGTTGTTTCACACTGATATGTGTGCGTACATAACAGCAACCATTCTCTTTGTGTCAACTGCCCACATATCATTGTTTTTAAAAGATGGAAGAACAAACGAAATCCTAAAACTGTGCTGAATGCATAACAACAGTCTTACGGCTACCTGGAGCATTGTGGAGCAGCTCCATAAACAAAGAAAGGTCTTTGTTCAGCCTCCAGAGCTGACCAGCAGGAAATAGAGGTGGGGAGAAAAAGGACTGCATAGTTGTAAAAGCAAATATCACATTGCTGAAGTCTCAAGTTTTCCTCCGTCACCATAATGGAGGGCTTGCAGTGAAAATGTATTTATGGATATCAGTACAAACACTGCATTCTGTTAGTATTAATAGAGAGAAAGAAAGGGCAGAGGCAAGCCAAACAGCAGAAGGAGAAAAGAAATTCCATTTCAGGTCATCTTTGAATCGTTAATATGTTTTCAATTTCTTTAATTTCCAGCTACCTGAAGTGACCATCATCTTCTAACCTCTCAGAAAATCTCACCTGGATCCTGGTTGGCAGATGGCTAAAGATCAGGTGAGCATCTGTATGTTTTTTTTCCTCTTGGTGTCTCCATTGCCTATTTTTGTAAAATTGTTTCCAAATGTGCTGGATCAAAGTCAAAATATGCTTTGTGTCCAGTGTGAGTGGCTTTGGCTGTTCACTTACTTGTAAAGTCAGCAACCATTCTTAACAGTTTGCAATACAGAGCACATGTGCATATCATTTACTGTGCACATAAGAGATTCTGTTTCAGAAGAGTGCACATGACAAGATTTGAAGACGCAAAAGCTGCAGATATAGATAAAAACATACTGTTGATAGCAAAATGTCTTCAAGAATTTAGCCTGCCACATTTGGGCATGGCTTTAACTTGACTGGATTTACTCCTCTTTCACACTGTATGCGTTGGAGGGTCAGGTCCATAATGTGTCATGCACTTAATATTCTCTTTATAGTTGGTAAATCTACTGGCCACTGATTACTTGGCCACTTGTCAAACTGGTAGGTTTGAATGGTTAGGTAGGCCTTCCTGACAGAGCACATTCTTATCTGGACCACTGAAAACACTCATCTGGTAAGACTGACTGATGTGCTCTGTTGCAGGGTGACCACACAGTCCAGCCTGAACAGGGAGTGGGAGGAGACCAACAGGAACAGTGTGGAGTTGAGCCAGGACAAATAGCCAGTGCCTCCTGGCAGTGGTTCTGTTGGGGTCATTGAGGCTGAGGAACAGCACCTGGCAGACTGCCTGCCAGGCAGTGAGCTGAGGAGGGGCCAGCCACAAGGCACAGCAGTGCCCTGTGCAAGCAGAGCTGTGGCCTGGAGTGCCACAGGAGGACAATCATTATTCCCCTCTGCTCAGAATGGGTTACACCATGTCAGGGTACTGCATGCACTTTCATGCAGCTGCAGTACAGAAAAGATGTCAGCAAACCAGAGTGAGTTCAGTGGATGCCACCAAGAATGGCATCCATGTCCATGTGAGAAGGCCAGATGGCTGGGGCTAGCTCTGCCTTGAGCAGAGGTAGCTTTGTGGGCACCTTTCAGCAGCCCTTGGTACCTTTTGAGGCGATCTGCAGACAGAGCCAGGCTCCTCACAGCTGTGTGGCAGGAGAGTGAGACAGCAAGCATAAACTGAAACTAAGGGAGATTCATAATGGATATAAAGAATGTTCTTCACTACTGGGACAGCTGAGCAATGGAGCAAGTTGGCTGTCTTCATCTTTAGAAGCTGTCAAGACCTGCCTGAAAAGCCATGAGCAGCCTGATCCAACCAGGACAATAGGCTACATGCAGACCTCCCTGTGTCCTTCCAGCCAGAACTACTCTGTGACTCTGTGGGAGTACTTTGTTATGGAAGCTACAGTAGAAGCTGTGTCTCCTGTATGTACAATGAAGGATCTGTAAGGGAAGAACACGATGTTGCTCTCTTCATGTTTGTGGTAGGAATGCAGGTTTTAATATAATAAAATATTTCATTTATAGGTGCTGAGAAATGAGACAAGGGCACAGGACAAGAAGAAATATTTAGACTGATGTCACGTAGAAAAAGCAGCATGTTTTCCCTTGATATAAGCTCTGAAAAAAGAGACTTAACCATCTTGACGTGTCTTTGAGTAGGTTTTGTCTTTTTTTTTTTTTTGAGGGTGAGAACATGCCTTGTCTGAGGACCTTACTACAGCACCCTGTCTCATCTGGATGGGAATATGTGAGACCTGCCCTGGTTCCTCTGTTATCTGCAGAGCTGTACTCAAAACTCTGAGTGAATGTACCTCAATGTCATCTCTCAAACAAGAGTGAAAGAAAGCTAATTCTCAGGAACCTGGCCTCAGCAATCCATGTAAACAATCTTGGAGCACTCAAGATGGGTGAGGTGGCAGCAAATACTTTTATCTTGAAAGTAAGCCTCCGTGATCCTTAGGTGAAAGTTCTCCCTCAGGGCTGGGCTCTACTCAGAGGAGATAAAAATCTGCTTCAGAATTAGCTGAGAAATCAAGTTTTGTGATGGCAGCAGGAGAGGTGGGGGAAGCAGGGACAAAGTTTCAGATAGACTAAGTAGTTTTGGGTGCTGGGCACATAGGGAGGGTGATAGACTCAGTAAGGATCAGAGTTTGTTGACAAGTAATCTCCTGAGGCTGGCTACTCACTAGAAGAGTTACAGCCTGTTGCAGAGGCATAAAAACAGTATTCCCAAGTCTGTGTTCTCTTTTGACTGGTTTTCTGCATTGCACAGTACCATACATTCCTCTACCAAAGAATCCTCTCAGCACTGCTGACAGTGAGCACAGAAAATTACACTTCTGTCAGCACAGGCATTTGTCAGGACCAGCTGCATTCTCCAGCCATTCTTTCTTCTCCTTACAAAACAAAAATCCATGTACTACACAAGCAGATGAAGCAGTAGAAAGCAATGCCAATATATTCTTCCTCTAGTCCTCTATACCAAAGAATCACTCAAAGAGAATTAAATATCTAAACTAAGTTAGACAGCCAGTGGGTCACAAGGATCACCGCAACGTAGCTGAGTGCTCACTTCTTGCAAGTTTTTTTTCTGGAAAGTAAAAATAAAAAGAAAACAAAACCTGACCGCCCCCCCAAAAGCCTTGCTCAGATAAACACACTGACTCACAGCTGCTGATGCAGTAACCAGCTCTACAGTTTAGAAACAAATAGCTACTTACTTGCCGTTGGACACTGCCTCTGCTTCAAGCTTCTGGTGTGGTGGCTGCAGGCAAAGAGACCCAGTCCTTCCAGTCGCTAACTTTTATAACGTTCTTGGCAGGTTTTTTTGTTGTTGTTGTTCTTTTTTTTCTTGTTTTTTTTTTCCTCCACTTCTTTATTCTCCCTCCTCTCTGGGCTGGTTGGGCAGATGTCCTTGCCCAGGATAGCTGATTGGCTGCTAGACAGCAACCACCTGCAATCATTGGACCTACTTGCTGTCCCTGCTTTTCCACCCACTTTCCCTCCCCCGTATATATAATGCAAGTTACGATGCTGTGAAACTGAGACTTTTCCAATTATTTCAAATAATTCCTCTTTCTTCTAAAACATGCCTGTGAATAATTACAAGAGAAAGCATAGAAAGTTTTTGCTGGGATCTGGGGTATAACTTTCAATGTAGGTTTAGATCTTCAGAAAGCTTATATTCAGAAAACTACGCTGTGCTGACAGGAAGATTAGAAACGAAAATGCAGAGCTTTGGGGCAGACCCTTCACTGGCGTGAATTACTGTTACTCCTGAGGTTTCCTAAGCCCCATACTTCAACTGAAAATTTAGCAGGGAAACATGCTTTCACTTCCTGATTTATATGTGGAGTGATAAAACGTGATGTTATGATACCAGAATTAGAGAAACCACAAATACTGATTTTCTTCCACACTATAAGAATAATGGTTGCCAGAAGTAATATGCCTACTGGGAGAGGTATAAGTGCAAGTCTCCATGAAAAGCCCACTGAAATATCTTCTGCCTACATTACCAAGACATGCAGACTTTTCAGTTGCTTAGCAAGATTTTTCTGTGAAAAACACAACACCATATATGGTGTATCAGCTTTCCATTTTGTATCAAATCACACCATGGCTGTTCACCAAATCCAGACATAGGCCTGATTTTGTTTTCTTCATATTGCAGGTCCATATCCATGGGAAAAGTACAGTGTGGGGCTGTTTGGCAAACATCATACTGTCAGCAACAGTATATTCTGTGACCTTGGACATTAGTATGTCTTTACTCCAAAGCCCCAGTATTTGCCTGAAGAATGACGTAGTTTCTCCATTTGTTTGGCTCACATGGTGACACCTTTAGCCTTCACATGGACACAGTGAGATGACTGATTTCCACTCCCACTGAGCAGCACTATCTTCATTAGGGCTCTCATTCCCTGAGCCTCTGTCCTAGAGCTGCATTCCAATATCCGTGCCTGTGGGATGTTTAAACAGCAAATGTGCTGCCAGGGTCTGCTTTCACAACAGTCAGCAGAGAAGTTTCTGAGAAAGCTGAGAGTGTGGTCTAACTGAGGGCCTCATGCTTGTGCTGTTTTGTTTAATTTTCTCCTCCCTGATTCATTCTTTGTTTTGGTGAAGAATGCTCTAGCACATGATACTGATAAGAAAGCTTTCCCTGCTCTATGTGCTATTTTTCCCACCCTAGCTAGAAAGGGAACTCCAATACATATTGATTTCTGAAGCACAAACATTGAGCATCTTTTATGGATTAAAAGTGCTTTTATTGAAAAAAAAAATCTAAAACTCTCTTGAGACCAAGAAGATGTTATATTGATAGTCTTCTTCAAGACAGCAGTGAAAACCCAAGACTGGTTCTTATTATTCCCAGTTTGTTTAGAAGCTGTTGTAGACAGGAAAATACAAGGAAGCGTTTCTTTCCATGTGCTGTCTGTGATATAGACTGTGTAACTATAACAGAAAGTCTGGAGAAGTCTTCCTGATAAAAATTGTCTGATATTTTAAAAGCACTTTAGGTAATCCCCTGTAGCCCCTTTCTGCTCTTTGTTCTTTTAGAATTACACGTATAGTTTTTCCATATGGGAAGTGGCTAGTGTGTGGTTTCCATTTCTTCTAAGCCAAAATTCAGCACAGATAGCACTAGTATTACAAGTCCTAGCAGAGATTCTGAGCAAAAGAAATGTGAAAACCTCATGGCTGAGTTCCTCACTTAATATAGGAATTGCAGCCATTTCATGTGGAATGATCAGTCACTCCAGATAATGTCACTGTAGGGTTCAGTGCTATTAACATGCAGAGCCATGCTGCAGACTGCAATCCACAGAAATGAGTAGTGAAGTAACATTAAAATAGACTTACTGGAACAGAGCTCTGTAAACATAGTTTAGGGATACTTACACCTCTGAAGTTATAGTGGTATTGTATCTCCACAGAAGGTAAGAGTAAACTGGCACAGTGAGGGGAATGCAGTGTACTTTCATTAAGCACAGAAACTACCCTGTCTCATAAAAGATAGCATTATCCACACAAACTTTTCTACAGCAAAATTAGTGCATCAGCCAAACTATAAACCTGTTTCACCTGGCTGGTGTTTGAACTTATAGTATTGTAATCTCTCTCAGCTTTCCAATCACCTAACTTGTTTTGGAATTTTGTTTTTGTGTGTTTGTTAGTTTAAGCCTTTTTCAGAGTAACATAATGCAGCTATGGGGCTATAGATATATATCTGTGTCAACACCCTGGTAGAGGGCTACAACTGCTTCAAAAGAGATTGAATTTGTGGCTGTGGGCAGTTACTTCAAAGTATACATCACAGCACAGGAGGTCCTGTGTGGTCCTGTGTGGACTCTGGAGTTGAATTCAGTGATCCTGATAGGTTCCTTCCAACTTGGGATATCCTGTGATATTTCTTTCTCACCAATGTGGCATAGCAGAAGTGAATTTTGTATTTGAATGGCTTGAATGTTCTGCCAATGTTGATTCTTCAACCTAAAGTTACCATATAGAAGTTGACATAAGTATTCTGCATATTAAATTATTTTTTAAAGACCACCAGAATCTTTCTTTATAGGAGGCTGAAGCTATTATCTATGTTTTATTATGTGGTTTTGCTTTTGACAGTGCCAAATGTATCATTTGCAGGCAGTGGATTTGTGCAGCAGAAGTCAATCTAATAGCTGTCCTGGCAATATGCTTGTAATATCCTTGCTTGCAGAGGCTCTGTCACTTCTGCACTGATGTTCTGAGTGAAGACTGTTGCTGGATGAAGTACTTCAAAATGCATGGAAAGCCTGGCTTAAAGACATCACATAAAAAAGGTTAGAATTGCTTACAATTCTTCTGGTTGCTGACTGTGTTTTTCTGTGTGTCCAGCAGTATCATTCTGATATTGATTTTCGCCTGATATTAGTATGCCTTTAAAATGAAAATGAGTAAACATGAAGACAGACAAGAGACAAATTGTAGTGCACCTGAAAAATACTCAGGAAAAGCAAGAACTGGATAAAGAAGTTTCAGAGATTACATAACTGGCCATCAAGCAAAGGATCAACAACAAAACTAACTTAAAGCTTCCCTCTGCACTTTTGGAAATGACGTAGTCTGAATTTTATCAAAACTTGTGTACATGGTCAGAGCTATGAAAAGGTTTGAAATGAGGTGGAAAGAATTGCTGAAACTCAGAAGAATATCTGAGTTGAATATGCATCCACATGAAAAACACCTGCCTCTGAGTGCCCCGGGAGAGTGCTGCCTGCGTGATGAGGTTAAAGTCTAATCAGAACAGATGAGCTGAGTGGAGTCAGCCTCCTCTTCACCTCTCTGCCTCGTGCTGGATGTTTCCTGTTTTCTGTACTCTACAGTCTTACCTAACTGTCTCAAAGTCCAGCTTGTTCATCCCTATCTAATCAGAGGTATTGTTTATTAAGTGATTTGTTTTCCTCATTCACCTACGCTCCTAGCCCCCACTGCAGAGAACCTGTCCTTTAACCCCACTGAAAGAAATCACCTGTATTTCAAGTTCCACAGTACTCATCTGTGTTTGCAGGCACGTTGTATGTGGAGGGTGATGGGCAGGGCTGGTGCAGGACTTCATTCAGGCCAGGGGGACCTGTTTGCTCTTCTGTCTTTTGGCTTAAAGCTGGGCTGCAACAAACATCATGGCTCAGAGTGAAATATAGGCAAGTGCATATCTAGGCTGTTATCAAAGCCCAAATGTTCACAGCCATTTCTATTCTGGGGACAGCAAATAGGGATACAACTTCAAATCAGACTGCCAGTGGTGACATTTCTGGGCTGTGCAAAATAACTGTTACGGGCCTTCTGCTGGTGTTGTATAGGACAGGAAGATAAATGCAGTAATGGCACTGGTTTCTGTGCCTTTCTGCTGACGTTTTGCTTTTAAAAAGAAAGTTAAGTAAATAACTTGCTGCTAGACTGGAACACTTATCTGTTAATTACCACTTTATCTAAGCAGTGCAGTTGCAAAAAAGCACATTTAGGTGCTACATGCTAATGTTAGCATTAAGTTTGCAAAATACAAACTACAGCAGATGTCTGAAGAGGTCTCATTTGTTGAAAATACCATTGTAATTGTGTTTTCCATAGTGCAGGGAGAACACTGCACATTATGGCAGAAACTATAAAAGCAAATAGACACTGAAGAATTCATATTTGGCCAGAGAGTCACCAACAGTGCAAGACAATACAACATTATTTTTTTCATCAATACTTAATATCGGAAGTAGTTACGCAGCTGGGAATGTGGCATTTATAGCTTGCCACACAGGATGAAGTCTTGGAAATGGACTGGTTTTGCTGTCTTTTTGCCTGTAGGTGCACAGATCAACTGGCCAGTCAGGAGAATTCTCTCGAAGCATGACCTGTCATGGCAGAAGGTAGTGTGGGGAAATTAAGGTATTCTAGCAACTGACACACATGGAGAAGCACATTCAACAGACACGTAATGCTATACGCATTATTGGCAGGTATACTGAGGATTATTCGGAACCATATGATCGACCCTAACACCTGGTGAATTTGGATATAACATCTATAAAGCTGGTGTGGAGACCTTAAGAGTCCCTTTCTAAATCTGTACTACCCGAGGATTCAGTGGCAATTCATGCAGATGAAAAAAGTGATCAGAGAAGTATCTTCAGTCAAGTTTAGTAATGAAGGAGATGGATCTGCCAGTCAGGAAAACTAGCTAACTAATAGTGACACAAAGACAAAAGAGGCAACAGTTTTGATACAAATGCAGTTTATTTATTTATTTATTTTTAAGAAAACTTGCTTGTAAATATCTTCAGGAAAAAAAAAAAAAAAAAAGTAAAGTCCTATATTTTAAACAGAAGCACCCTGTGTCCAGACAAATTGCTGTTGAAATAACCAGTCTGGCCATTTGCAGCTCATCACGACTGAGAAAGTCTTTAGCCTTCTCCCTTCAAATGCAGTATTTTCTCACTAAGATAGTGATACCTGTTTTGGTTAGAAAAACCTCTTGGGCTTCTAATAGAGTCCTATCAATTTGTACTTTGTTTTTTGCAGGAATCATGCTTTTCTACTTATGTTGGATATGCTTTGGAAACAGAGGTAGTTTTTTGTTTAATTGAGTAATTTTCCCTGAATTTTGAGTCCTGCTGCCTGTCCCATGAAGGAGGAATCCTCCAGTGCAAGCAATAATTGCTGCACTGAAAAACAGTCCTGAACTACTGAGGATGAACCAACATCCAACAAAATCCATATTATTTCAAAAATGTTTGGTCTGATGTTTTGAATGTGAGTCAGAACAACCTCAAGGCTGTGTTCAAGGAGATGTTTGATCTTACATAGCCTAAGATATGACAACTCAGCTGCACTTTCCTTATGTGGAAGAGAAATAAAAGACTTCGATGTTTGAAAATGTACTTGTAGCCCAAACTGTGGAATAAAATCCTGCAGGAATTTGGAATTAACTGTAAACTGTAACCTTTTTTTTTTTTTTTTTTTTTTTCCCTTCCAAAGATGAAGAAGTATGGTTCTCCAAATTGTCATTTCTTTTACAACATGTAGCACAAAAAAAAAAAAAAAAAAAAAAAAAAAGTCATTTTCAGAGTTCCGAAGCACAGAATATATGCTTGTCTGTGATGTCACAACATCATGATGGGCACTAAGTACCTGAATAACTCGGGAATGGCTCCCAGCTGGCTCAGTGAAAGAACCACCTCCATTGTAAAGGTGAATAGGGCACTTAAGTGGCTTATCTGGAGCTCGTTCACTCGCAGGTTGAAGTTGTTGCCCCTCCAAATGCTGTTTGCTGTTTTCTCCTAGCCAAACTCCCTTGGCTGTTGCACTGTAAGTGGCTTTCTAGTTTTAGAGGGATGCCTGAAGTTCATGTTCTCAGCTTTCAGATATAAAGCTTAGTCTAATTACTGACTACTAGAACAACTGAGTAATACAGGGCAAAATAAAAGGAAAATAACTTGGAGACAAACTGATACATAATTTCCCACATCAAAACATTTATTGACTCCATATAGTTGGTTGCATTCTTATCTAAAGTTTCTTAATTCCTTTTCCTTCTTTCATTTTTTCTTTCTCTATCCCACTTATTATAGAATTATACAGGCATAGAATCATGAAGGTTGGAAAAGACCTCCAAGATTTATCAACCTGTCACCAATATTTCCCACTAAACCACAGTACAACATGTAAATATTTCTTGAACACCTCCGGGACAGTGACTCGACCAACACTTTTGGCTGCCTGTTCCAGCACCTGATCACTCTTTTGGAGAAAAATTTTTTCCTAATATCCAAATTATAGCTTACAGTGAGATTTTCACTGCAAGCATGAGTGAACCCTCATGAAAATAACAGGATGTTGTTCTGGATTTGTACAGTACAAAGCTGAAAAAAAAAGAGTGAAGAGAAAGCATAACACAGTGAAACATTCAAAGATGAAGAAACATAAGCAAACAAGTTGTACTTGCAGGTGCAGGCACTTAGTGGAATAAATAGAAAGTGACACTCACATCCTGCCATCTTACCTTGTTATCATAAAGCCCAAGAATAGGCTTGCCCACCTGCCACTTGTGGTTCTGTGTGACCATTTTGATATCTTTGGGGTTTTCGGCAGCTAAGAATGAACGTAAGAGTTCTGCCTGTGCAATCTTTTCTGTGTCCTCTGGCAGAAGAGGTGTTTGGCCTTTGGAATGATATGGAATCCACAAGCAAGCTTTATTCACATCTGATTTCCAAAGAAGATATCAAAGTGTCCTAGCTGATCTACTAAGCAAGCAAAGTTCATCTGTCTGAGCCTGCACTGACCCAAGCTGTGAAGCCATTTCTAATTGGCTAACCTATGTTGAGCACGTGTACCTTGTGTTCAGTACCCACTATGGACACAACACAGCTGGAGGTCTGCAAATGATTCACCTCTCAAGATTTTTATGCCTTTTCCACCTACAGCCAAACTTGTTAAAAGCTGACGGCTTAAATCACCTGGTAGAGACTGAGAAAAGAAAAATTCAAAGTAGAGTTCTTTCTTTGGCAAGAATAAAAGAATAAACAACCATCCCCAAATAAAACTCAATGAAAATGCTATTGGTTAATTAATTGGTTAATTCTGAAGTTAGGAAGCTGGTTTCAAGTATTGCTCAAGCAAACTCCACCTAAACGTGAACTTGATTCAAAGCCCACAGAAGTCCAAGAGGGCTTTTCTTCAGTTACGTTTTGGTGACAGTCTTGATATTATATGGTATCTTTGTTATCCCCATGGTTTTATATTTAACTGTGCTCACAGCTAAGGTACAAAGTACCTATCCCAAATGCTTGACAAACAGAATAGGTTAAGTTAATGGGTCAGCAGAGGAGTGGCACTTTGATGTGTTGCTTCTTTATATGACAGCTAGCTTAGTTTCTTATGGCCTCTTTGCCTGCTGCCAGGAGCAGTGAGTGGACCACTTCGACAGAGCTGTAAGTTACAGTTCCAAATGAAATTTTGGAACCCCACACTGTGGCAGCACCTGATGTAATCTTCCCTTTGCTTCTGTGCTGGTTGGAAGTCAAGGTAAATTCCTGTTGAATGTCCAAGTCCAATCAGCAACTGATAAAAGCTCTTAACAACCTAGATCCTCTACAAGTAGTTGTGATACCAACCAACATGGTAGTAATTATGTATTGTTTATAATTTCTGGAAATGCATCTATGAAATTGTGTATTTGTGATGTGGCTGTGAGCACCAGTGGCTGTTATTCTGCTTTCCTATTCCTATCTTCTGACCTGACCTTTAACAAAGCAGCAGAGACAAGTTTCCAATGACCTCTGCTCTGAGGAAAAGGACAGGAAAGGGTATAGGTACAGACAGGATCTGTAAGGAGAGATAGTAAGAAATAATTAAATTATTAGCAAAATTTGCAGAACCTACATGATTTTCCAGGGAAAGTTCTTATTACATCTATGCTGCTTTTGAAAGATGTGCTTAGAACCACAACTTTGAAAAAGTCAGACATCAGATCTTAGTGAGGATGGGCAAATAAGAGCCCTTTCTCCTCACTAGCTTAAATTAGACACATTCACTTTGTCCAGCATTGCTTCTTCCCTAGGCTGGGAATTCTGTAATGAATGCAAAGGAGAGTAGGCAGTACAGCTGTTTGTAATGGTGTGAGATCTTTTCGTTGATCATGGTGAAAGAGAGTACTTGACCCACATCCTAATCTGAAAGCCTCCACTTCCCACTCATATAGCATGATTGAATCATTAAGGTTGGCAAGACCATTGAGATCATCCGATCCAAGCCATACATGCTGAACAGTGATTAGTTCAAAATACGGATTAGGGTCTGCGTGTACATAAGCTTCATTTCTTGAGAAACTTGTTTTTCAAGTGTTGTTCTCTGTCCACTTGGAGGCAGGAGATACTTGGTGCGAGTGGCAGGGTGTTCAGCATTTGAGATTGCGCTGTCAGCTCAGTGACAAGGTTTTCAGGGCTTTGTGTCTAGAAGGGCATGAAGACATCACAGCAGTTTCGGGTTGTCGTTTAGCCGAAGGCTGGAATACATCCCCACATGCCGGACCAGGTTGGGTTCCACCACGTAGGCATTCTCCCCCTTCGTGCGCAGCAGTGAGTAGAGGGCAATGTCCTTAGCAAAACCCTGGCGACAATGCAACCCCTTCAAGTAACCTAAGACACGATGGGCAGAAGAAGCAGAGAACAGCATGGCAGGTGTGCAGCACTCTGTGACCGGCACAACGTTATACAGCACAGGGGCCAGCCGGCGCAGCTCCAGCAGGTAGTGCCGTCCCACCAGCTCTGACAGTGCCATGCTATAGGCAGCAAAGAACAAGATGATGGGCCAATTCAGGCTCGGGCGCCCAGCTGCCCAGGAGTACACACAGTTCAGCACAGGCCCCAGAAACATTCCCAAACCCAGCCACTCGAGGATTCGCATGGGCTCAGGATTGACATACTGCTGAAGCCTCTCAGGATGGTAAAGTTTGAAGTAGAGTGCATCTCTGAGGTATGGTTTGGAGAATCGGGCTAAGAAGAGGTGCTGCAAGACAGAGAATATCTCTTCCTCTGGCACAGCATCATCTTCCACTACCAGGACATATTCTGGGTTATATGCCAAGAGCGACTGCTCAAGGCAGAAGACATAGTCCTGCTTCTCCTTCTCAAAGTGGTTCACTCTAGGGTCAGGGTCCTCCCCAGTTTTGTCACGACTGACCATAGGAAAGAAGCTGCTCAGCAGCTTGACATCCTGATGATGACTGGGGTCAGGCTCCACGTTACAGACGAGGACACGGTGGCTCTGGCAATTTGTCCCACATTGCTGGAGGAGGCGGTGGAAACGGGATGCCACCTGCAAGACATAGTGGAAATCATCCCGCCTCTGCACAGTGATAATGGTGACCAGCAGCAAGGGCCGAAAGGTTTCACTGTTGGAGGCCTTGGAGATATTTGGTATCTGCAGCTTCTCAAAATAATGGAGGGCAGCCTGACCCTCCTGCCGGTTCTGACTCAAGAACTCCTGGCTCATGGGATTCAGGTGCCAGCGCCGCAAATAAAAATAAGAGTAGAGGAGTCGGTGGCAAATCAAAGGAGCCAGCACACCAAATGTCACTACAGTCAGAGTGAGAAAGTGGATGAAAGGACTGGACCAGCGGCACCACCTCCCGTAGAGCTGCCAGGCATAGTGTAACATAGCTGCTGCAGGAGGGCACTCCTACCTCAGGGCACCCAGTGCCTTCCCTCCTTCACTTCCACTGCATCTTCTCTGGGTCTCAAGATACCATTGCATTGGTGGCTGCCAAAGTTTGTCCACACCTGGAGAGGAAGAAGAATGATTGTTAATGAAACAGGAACTATCAGAATGGGAAGACCATGATTTGAGGAAACGGAAAGCTGAGAGTAGGCACCAAGTAAGCCAAAAGAGAAGGCTGCTGAGGGGTCCACTGCAACGGGGGCATCACTGTCACAGGACCATGAAGGAAGATGAGCAGAATGCTGTTAATGCCTTTTCAGCACATAGAAGCTCTGATTTGAGTTAGCTAAGATTTTACTGTGTTTGTTACTGTACTTGAAATGCAAAACAAACAAGCAATGTGAGTGCAGAAGTGTGGAGAAATAAATCTTTCTGTTAAAAGCACAGGAATTTCTGTTAATAGCAGAGATGCAGCTATTTGGCCACAGTGACATAATATTTGGGTTGTGACCAAGAACCAAAGCCAGATCTCTGGTATTGTTGCCTAGCACATATTTGAAAGACAAACTTCTACCTCTGTGGAGTGACACATGCTTCCCTTCTGTTGCTTGTACACTTCCAAAAGCCTGCATGTGTTTATACTTTACACCAGAGAGTGTGAAGCGAGATAGCAAAAACACCAATTCACTTCACTAGAGGCACGTGTACACTAGGTGTAATGTGTCTCCCTGTCAGATATCTCTTTCTTTCTAGACCCTGTGAAATACACAGCAGCAGTGGAATTAGCAAGATACAATTGAGCCATTTACTCACATTTATAATGTTAGAGGTTGTGCCTTTAATTTTAATCTCAGACATTTCTATATATTTATATACACGTATACACGTGCTCTAAGCAAGCACTCACCTTCACAGAAATGAGATTTTGCCATATCCAGCTTTCCTGTTCTGCTTCTCTGGGCTGCTATGGACACCAATTCTTGTAGGTAGCTTTCACCAAACTAGGGCATGTAGGCTGTTTATGTATATTCTTTCATGGCAGCAATTTCCCTTTATAACCTACTGTTTGACTTTCCTTTCTACTTGCTATTCCCTGTCCTTGTGAACTGAGCTATTAATGTCCTCCATCTGACTGAATCAGTGGAGAATTTCTCCCATTTTTAACCTCTTTGCTAAGTTTGCCTTTGCTAAGTTCTAACCAGAGAATGCTGTTCCCAGCCCTTTTTCCTTCTCTGCACTGTTGCTTGAAGTGTCCTGAGGAATGCTGTGTGGATAGGAAGCAACCAGTGCCACAGTGTTTCATTGTGTCTCAGAAGAGCCACTTGGAAAAAATGACTCAGAGAAAACAGTGAGCAGGGTCTAAATCCAGGACTGTTTCAGAACTGTCTTCACCACTCTATCACATATTTGCTACATTTACTATTATGGGAACTGCTTCCTATTTCCCTGTGGCATCTGATGATGCCTTGTATGAAGGGTCTTTTACTAAGATGAATGGAAAGTTTATGAGAGTTGCTCCAAATCTTTCTTAGAGAACAGATCCTTTATGCTGTGACAGCTCAAACAGTCTGGGATAGACCTGTGAACCAGTGCTGTGCTATTCTAACGACTCACAAAAATACAAGATTTCAAAGATTTTGCGTAAACAGAGATAACAAATTGGCACACTGATGCATGAGAATTTGCACTGTGTTCCCATAGCTTTCTTTTGTTATTTTTTTCCTTATTGCACAACCTTGTTTCACAGACACTATTGCATCAGTGACCTTGTAAAGGCTTTGAAGGTGATGGCTGCATTTCAGCCACCAGATCGAAGCCACTGAGGTTCACAGTATGAAGACCTGAAATTCATCAGATGTAAAGATCTCACCTTTGAACACGCTCATTCATCCAAAACTCAGGGCTTTCCCTCTTCTCATTTTCTGCGAACCAGTCACAAACACAATGGGAACACACAAATGTGCAATCATTCTACAACTCCCAACTCACAATGGTGTACTTATGAGCCTCTTTGTGAAGTGAGCAGGACTGTTGTTGCTGTGATTGAATCACCCTCCCACTGTGAAAGTGAGGAAAACAATGGGAAAATACAAGGAGCTGAGGAAGAGCTAGAAGGTAGATTAATCCCCAGGTAGTAAGAAACCAACTTTTATCTGCAGCTAGCTATGATGGAGTTCTGAGCTGCAAGCATCGTGAGGCCACAGCAAGCTCCACAAGTCCTGGGTTATCCATTCAAGAATTAATAACCTTCACCAAAGTGCTGACCGGTGAGCAGTGGGAACCACTTCTGCGGTACAGCACTGGAGAGGCCGACGCTAGGGCACAGCCTCACTGCAGGAATCACAGCCTCCCGGCTCCCGCAGCCCCGGCAGTACCAGCCGGGTTCCGGCTGCGGGCGTGTGCCATGGCTCCCCCTGCGGGGCTCCGCGCTCACAGCACCGTGCCGTCCCTGGCCCTTTGGGAGCTCAAAATTGAGCACACTGCAAATTGGCCAGCGTTTCTGGCTTAGCCTGGCTGCCGTGCTGAATGCTATCTCACTGCCAGAGGAAAAGGCTGCTTTTTCTGGGTACCAGAAGAACCACGGAGCCTAACAACGGCTGTATCAAGGGAGGTTCCATAGTCACTGTCTCTGGAGGCGTTACAGAAATGCGTGCATGTGGCTCTGAGGGACACAGCTCAGTGGGCATGGTGGAGGTGCACTGATGGTTGTCATTGGTGATCTTAGGGGTCTTTTCCAGCCTAAACCATTATGAGAATTTTAGGAAAGGTGGGGGACGTTTGCCACCTCTCCACTTTATGTCTGTTAGCACTGAGAACCAAGAGCTCTTGCTTTTACAGAGATAAAAATTGATCTCACAAGCAGAACTTGAGAGCAGAGCTTCTCACTGGGCTGTTTTCAAGACATCAGGATTGTTCTGGCCTTACTGAAGCTATTCTGTTTTCAGAAGCTGTTGGTAATGTAGCAACAATTTGTTTTTCTCCCATCTTGGAGATTCTATTCTCTTCTGAGTATTTATTCACCATTTCTGACTGTGAAGTTTAAGGTGAAAAGAATGAATCAGAGTTGAATTTTATAGTATTTTAAAAGGCAATTGCATGAATCATGGATAATAACTACTTATCAGTCACCTCATAACTAGCACTGGAGACCATTTCGACAGCAGCTCTATGCAGAACTGAGCAATTGCTTAGACATGCTTGGAAGCCGTGTGAGTACAATACAAAGCTTCGTCTTTGTTCTTTACTTAGATCTTGGTGCAGATTCCCTCTGGGAACACCTGGACCATATCCAAATCCACATCTCTGTCTTCATTATCCTCTAATTAATTAACTGAGTTGCACTGATTAGGATAAATTTACCTCTGCATACATTGAGGAAAAGCAGAAAAATACATATCTTCTTTTCTGAGATGCAGAATACTGTCACCTGTGCTAGGGCTTTAAAGCTGATTTTCTGTCTGCTCCCAACTCCTCTGCAGAGAGGTGTTCTGAGGGCAAGTATTCCTGGAGCAAAGCCTCTCACGTGTCATCGCTGCCAGATTCTAGGAGGCTCCTGGACTGCTGACTCAAGAGAGGCATCTCCATCCTCCACTGCCTCGTTCATAATGAGGCACAGAGGCCATAAGGTTTTCATTGTGTGAAACAGAGATGGGCTCTTGGAGAAAGTCCTGGGAAGGCATGCTGTGACAGCAAAGAGCCTCCGTGGTGTCAGCAGATGTGTTCACACCAAACTGTAAGTTTGACTTTTTGTTCTTCCTGCATTAGCATCCCAAGTTTAAACCTGGAGCAGAAAAGCACCACTGCCCCCCAGCTTGGCTTTGTACAGCCAAGCTGCAGCCTCAGGACCAGGTCTCTGTCCAGACTGACTTCCTCTGGAGGAGACAAGAGCTTTGTCCTGAAGGTGGTGGTGGTGGTGGTAGTGCACCAGTCCTTCTGGTGCCTGAGGGAAGCTGATTCAAGCATCACAAAGTTGTTAAGAGACACAGAAATATCATTCTGTTTCATACATGCGTGCTGCCAGCTCACTGTTCTGTAGAGTGAGGTTTCCACCATGATGGGTACAGCTGGACCAGATGGCCAGCTTTTCTCATTTACATTGTACAACAATTCCTTTCCTGTTTTCTGACAATTTTGAGCAAGTGAGATGCCAGATAATGTTTCCACAATGTACTCAGGCTTACAATGAAAACAGCAGCATCATGTAGAAGGCAAGTGCTTGCACATCTGACCATTACATTTACATATAACAGTAGGAGTTAGGCTCCCTAGGAAAGAAAAATCATTCTGACATTCAGAATGTTAATGGAAGGAGCTCAGCGGTTATTCTTAGACTATACTTTATTAACAGGTGCAAATACATCTCCCACAGCTTCTGTTTCAAGCACTGCTTATGACAGCTGCCATTATTTTGTTTCTAGGCAAACCTGGAACCAGATAGTGCCAATAGTTGGCCAGATTCACTCATGGCCAGTAGAGCACACAGTCAAATTCATAATGAAGCAGCCATTTGCTATGGTAGTCGCTAAAGGACCTGTTTGCTCTTGTTTCCTGTGACACCATGGATGTCAAATAAACCAGGCTGTTTTGTTACAGTTTCACTGAAAAAGCTCAGGGCTATGGCAAGGACCATGGTTGTCACTGATGCACAGGATTTCTCAGTTCTTCCAGGTTTGATGATCTATGTACCAAAGGCATAATATTGCTATGGTGTAACAGGTTGGTGATAGCTAGAACTGTAAGAGAGGTGGCTGGGGAAGTAAAGGTTTGGACATGGTGTCCTGGGGCAGTTACATGTGGTAAGAGGCAGAAATCTAGGGAGCAGCAGGCTGTTTTCACCTGCCATTCCTCAACCTTTCCTGACAAAGGAGTTAGAATTTAAGCATTTCTAAAAGAATGACAATACACAGATATACAGAATCATACAATCATAGAATCATTAAAGTTGGAAAAGACCTCTAAGATCACCAAGTCCAACCACCAGCCCATCACAACCATGCCCACTAACCTATATCCCCAGATGTCATATCGCCAGGGTTCTCAAACACCTCAAGGGACGGTGACTCCACCACATTCCTGCACAGCCTGTTCAGAAAACAGTGGTTTATAACCCTGTTAGGAAAACCCAGAAACTGTAGAATTCCATCTTGAATGCATTCTGATAGGTAAGCTTATTCTTCTCCTCAAACTACAGTTAACAAATCATTCATGAATCCTTGGAAATCCAGGGACCATGGTTTGGAAGGTACTGAACTACCAAGCAAAGTATGTGGATGCTGCAAGACACTTTCTCCACTCTCCTTGAATTAATGAAGAAAAAGATGCCACTATTAAAACAGGCTGTAAACTGAATGTATTTCAACTGCAGTTATTTCCTCATCTTCTCTTTTCCTTCCATCTTCCTTTTCCACACAGAGTCAAAGGGTACCATT